GGTGAGATTTTGAATGGCAGAAACTCGGTTAGCCGCAAATGTCATTAAGCTGCCTAGTTCGAGTGCTAACCAGCAAAGAACGATAGTCGAATCCGTCTAATAAAATTTCCTATTGATCTGGATATGAGGATAGTTTAAAAGTTTGGGCAGCGTAATAGTTTTTAACGGTACCACTCTGGATTGAGCACACAAAAGATGTTATGAGGTTTCACTAAAACTATCTTTGGACACAAGATACGCGCATGCTCCATGCGTCTGGAAAGCCATGCAAACTAATTTTGCGAATGTCATATGTTGAAACATGTCTTGGAATTTTAATGTGGTTTAAGTCTAATCAATGCGGGTGAATTTGGACAAATGCTGCATGTAAAGCAAGGGAGGAACTGTCTCATCTCATTAAATTTTTTCTTTCCATAAAAGTTGGAGAATTAATTTCGCACGGAAAACTTTTGGCCCTATCAAACCCAAATATTTGTGAAATGATAGACAAGTCTTTTAGTTATACGCCTATGAAATGGTTCACTGAAAGCCACGGAAAAACTTAGCATGTCATCATTGGGTTGCCAAATTAATCCCAACGTTTTAATGCTTTTATCGTTGCTTATGTAATATGTATTAAGAAACGTCAGATTGCTCATTTGCAATGTAAAGCCTGCATTATTTACAATTTTGATAATATTTTCCTGTGGGGATTTTGTTTTTTCAACAGTATCAGAACCGGACATAATTTTTTGCGTTATCATATGCAATTTGATGAAGTGACCGTATAGCCAAAAATGAGGCTAGAGCCATCCCGTAGGTAACTGGATTCAGTTTGTAGTCTTTAATACTATCAGCTTCATCCAACCTCCATATGATTCTGTGATAATCTCTTTGATTATAATTAACCTCAATCATTCTGTACATTTTCTCAACATCCGCGGTTATTACATAGTTGTGACACCGGAACCTGTAAACAATGCTGGATGGTTTGACCCACCTTCAAAGTGTCATTTAGTCATAAACCACTATAGTTGTTTTTTGGGATGCATTGAAAACGACTCTTCATTTTGTCGTCTAGACAAAAAAATATGTGATTGATAAAATTCTCAGTAGACATGGCCATGAAGTTCTTAGATTACCTCCATACCATTATCAATATGATCTTATTAAGATGGCATCGGGGTTGACTAAGAACTTCTACGACAAATACATAAACGAGAAGCAGAGATTCACGACTTGACTTGATTTTCAAGCTACTTGACTTGACTTGACTTGATATCAAGTAAAAATCAAGTCAAGTATTTATTTTTGAAATTCAAGTTGTTACACATTAAGTAACTTGAAAATCAAGCTTTTCAAACTAACTACTTGATTTTTCTTGAAAAAACAGTACTTTTTTGATATTAATCGGATTAATTGCCAAAACGCAATAACAATGAAAATCTATGTATACATGGTAAGTGGACGTATTCCTTTGAGGAAGTGAAAGTAGAGCCCATTTGCTACCGATTAAACATCATTTACCTCTATACCATTCTCAACGGTTTTTGAGATATTTTTTATTTTTATATTTAAGAGATTCACTTTTTTGGGAGGTAAATATTTTAAATTAACGAAATAATAAGGAACATACCTTATTTAGGTAAATGTTAACATCAATATTTGATAACATTTCTATTGTAACACTTGGTATTAAAAACAAATCGAGTAATTTTTTCTTCATATTGGTTACTCTTCCAAATAAAACTTATTTATTTAATAATAAAACAAAAGACTAATTTTGAAATAATGGGTAGTGTGAATAAAAATTTAGTAAAAGCTTTATCTTGCATTTCCTAAGCAAATACTTACTTTGCAGTGAATAAAAATGAGTATTAGCTTTAACTAAAACTTCAATTAGTAAAAGCTACAGTTTTTAGCATTGTCTTTAAATGGTGTGAATAAAAGTAAGCAATTCCTAATTATATGAAGGAAAAGCTTACATTTTTGCAAGCCTGGTAAACCTTGGCTTAAACATTTTAGTGGTGCCTAAATGTTTGGCAGAAATGGCTGTGTTTATGAATATAAGGTCTGCGAAATTTTCTCCCGAAAGAAAAGAAAGTCGTGCCGAAGAATGCCACAGTCTGTCAATTTGAGGTTGGCTTAAAATTTCTCATGAACCTCCTCCTCCAACAAATCACTTATAGAATTGTCTGAATCACTATTCATTTTCACCTTGAAGCGCTGGCGTTTGATACGGCTACTTGTTTAAAAGGGATACGTTCACCATCACTCAACTGTTGCCACCAGTTGAGTAGTTGGGAAAACAATGGGTACGTTCACCAGTACACAGCAGCTAACTTGGAGTGTAAAGCAGTTGAGGACAGTTGAGATCAATGAACTATAACCAAAAACTGGAATGCTAACACATGAGGACGAACTTGAAGCCTAGTGCGGCTGCTGCGGAGGGGATACCTGTTTTTGTCGCACTCATTATGTTAAATGGCGAAAATTGCTTCCAACACGTATTCCAATTGATGAAACCTGTGAAGGGAAATATGGCAAAACTTTCGAAAACGTCATATGTCAGCGAGCAACAGAAAAAAACAACATTCCCCCTTGTGGCATCTGTCTTTCATGGCTTCATTTTTTTGGCAGATATGGCAATGTGTGCGCGTTCCAGTTTTTAGCTATAGTTCATTGGTTGAGATACAGCGGATGTAAATTTCCTGAACGCATATAGTTGAGAGTTATGACAAATGACAATTCAATAAGTTGAGTTGGTAAGCGTAAATTTTTACCACTTAGAGAAATCGGCAGCAGCTGATAAAAAGCGGTTTTTACTGACCGCCGCTGAACGCGATCGTTTTAACTAGGTACTAAACTGTTGCAACAGTTGAGTGCTGGTGATCGTACCTCGTACCCAATCGCCTTCAGCGGCGCTCAGCAAAAGCCGCTTTTTGTCAGCTGCTGCCGATTTCTCTAAGCGGTAAAAATTAACGCTTACTAACTCAACTTATGCTTTAGACATGCGCAGAAGTGTTGGGCGTTCAGGAAATTTACATCCGCTGTATCTCAACTGTACTGGTGAAAGTACCTTATTATTAACTTCAGTCAATGTTTCTACACCGCCGGTCATAGCTTTGTTCCAACACATTCAGAAGCCGTACGATTCTGCGCAAAGCCGAAAATTTGTGCGTAGAACCCGAAACTCGTATTCAGAGTGTTTTCTAGACCGTTCATGGGGCAGTTTTTGAAGTGTTGGAACCAACCTCATACCATTCCCGTTTATAAAAATATTAATATCGTCGTTATCAGTATAAAAACTCGCAAACATACACTTTTTGAGAATGCTGTAGACACTTCACGAATATCCATATTTTCCAGAGACATGAGTATGAAATGGACTGCGTGTTCCGTATAGTTGCCGTACGCGGCAGTGATGGAAAGATGGTTAGGCAACCAGTCTTTCGCATTGTAGGCAAGAAGCTACACAAGCGCATTACCCACAACGAGAAATAACACATAATTTCATTTAAAGGTGACATATAATTAGTTATCCATAGTGTATCATTAAAAACTAAATACCAGACGTGCTTAAATATATGTCTTTTGTGCAGACCTGTGAGGCAAAAAAATAAAACAACACTTAAACGTTAGATAAAAAAACTTGTTATTCCCAAACAATTCTTGGGCAAATTCAAAGGCACAAAATACTAGATTGTAAGGTACAAATACTTATATGTAAACTTAAATTTAGGATTTAGATGCAAAACTGATTTTAATTCTACTGGTTCTTGAAAATTACAAGTTTTGTATACATTTGCCTAACTCTATCAGTGATTCTACTTGCTTCCTTATTCTGATAATGGATTCTAACGAGAAAATAAACACGTAAAATTGCGTTGATCAGCTGAAGTAAATGATTATTAGTAGGATCTTGGTCCAATATATGATCACCAAGCTCCTTAAAATAATTGTGAATGTTCATGTCACTCATGGTCCATATTATAATTTTTTTGAGTGTAGTGTTTGGAGTGTAATGAGTACGAATATTTTTTTCGGCTAAACTGCACAGTTTTATTACATCTTCTTATGCTTTACATAATCCCCCAAGATCTTTTCTATTTAGTAAAAGTGATGACGACTCATCAGAAAACAAAAAATTACAACAAATCGCGTATCTAACACTAACGTATAACAAGTGCGCGCGGATTTCTGCCCCTAATGTGCAGTTAGGGTTGCCTACCATGTTTACATCACTGTTCGTGCCGTACGCCCAGTCCATTTCATACTCATGTCTCTGATATTTTCAGTAAATGCTTCAAATGTCTAGCTTTTGCTAGTAAGTAAAAGGAAAAGGTTAAGTCTACCTAGTAAAAGCTGAAGCTATCACTTAATACTAAAAGTGGAAGCTTAGTTTTTATTCACACTGCCCAATGTGCCTTATTCTGAAGACAATTATATCGAGAACTTTTATTAATAATTTGTACGATTGATGTACTATGAAATTTTCGAAATTTTTAAGCATAAAGTAACCATTGGTTTGTAACTTGACAAGGACATTTAAAATGGCTTTTATTATTTTCCTTAATTTTAAATATTTACCGGGCAAAGGACCGAATTTCTTGGAAAATAAAAAAGAATAAATATCTCAAAAAACTGTTGAGAATGGTATAGAAGAGGTAAATGATGTTTAATCGGTAGCAAATGGGCTCTACTTTCACCTCCTCAAAGGAATACATCTACTTACCAGTCACCCTATATATAGATGTAATCTTTTAATTAAAAAACATCTAAAAACGAAAACTCTAACAAACTCAGTTAAATAATAAATAAAATAATATGATATAAAAATACGAAATATTCTTAATTCCGACAATAAAACAATAGAAAAACTACCAACATGAAATAGTAAATATCCAAAGAAATCTTTAATATCCTAATTTTCCATCCATGATTTGAGACACAAGGCTTCTAACGGAGTTATTGTCTAATTCATTGTTGCCAAGTTCAAAGTTTTCCTGCTGGGTTTCAATATGACATCCCTTAAATGTGAAACCTGTTCAAAAAGTTGCATTTTTAAGAGCCGCCCAAAGGAGGATGAAATTTTCGGCTCCCCTTGCGACTTATGTCAACGACCCATCTGCAAATTGTGCGCCGAAATAACAACCACAGAAGCTCATGCTGTTTCATTAGCGCGGAGAAGTTTGTTGTTTTTTTGTCCCGACTGTAAATTATCATTGAATGATCACATGAAGGATTTACCTAATTATAGGATTCTTTTGGAGAAGTATGAAAAAACAAAGAAAGAATCTGCTATTAAGGATAAAAGCTTAGAAACACTGGAAAACAAATGCTCTGAAATAACACAAGAGCTTCGAATTGAAATTAATAAACTTATTACGGACAATGAAGCAAAGGCTATTCATATTAAGAGGCTTAACAGAAAGACACAGGATTTTGAAAATAGCGCCATTGATGCAGAGCAGGAGCTTTATACTGAAATAAATAACCAGAAAGCAGAAATACTTCAACTTGCTCAAAATATTTCGGATCTTATTGACACTAATTTGGATTTGACTGCACAGCTTTCTTGCAGATTTAACAGAGACCAACAAGAATATGTTAACTAGCATTCAAGTGTTAACACAGGACAGGGAAGCATATATAATGGAGCTGAAGAACATCAAGGTAAATCTACTACATGCGAAGGAAGAGCTCCAATCTAGTAAATCTAGGTGTGATAGTTTGGAAAAGCATCCTGAAGCGGTAAGGCTTTCTGGTTCTTGTGCTTCTGGAAGTATCCTCAAAAATCAAGAGAATGGTGGAGGTGTCTCCAGAGAGGATGATGTGACATGCCTCGATGATGTTACATGCTTTGATGATGTGACATGCTGTAAATCTACTGCCACAGGTGACTCATTTGTTTTATTAAACGACAATAAGGTGATAGATGATTGCATTTCCCTAGATAAAGAGTTAAAAAGTGCCTCATATCAAAGTAATGGTTGTAATTTTGCTCCCAAAACATGTATTATCTGCGGTGACTCTAGTGCAAGATCCCTATCTTCTTATGGTTCTTTGTTAATCGCATATATTGAAGGGTCATGTTTATACTGGTCTTGATGTCAAAAGGCTGATCGAGAGGGTATTTTTGTTGTCTTTTGCTTTGACCGAAAGAGACACAATTGTTGTTTGCTTAAACTTAAACTCTACATCACCCAACATTGGTGAGGTTAAAAAGATTCTTTCTCTGGGTAAAACAACTAACTTGATAATGGTACTGAAATGTAATTTTAAGAGTTATTCGCTTGGTAAATTTTATCAAATAAATGAAGCCGAGGTATTATAAAGCGGCGCTTTAGCAAAATTTCCTGTTTACACGGAAGAAGATGAAGAAGACTTCGAAAATCGCTCCTGCGACTTTTCAAGGAGAGGTTCCGTTTTACCGCAACGCTTTTGCGAAAATCAGTACAAGTAGCGCCACCTCTGGCTACGCCTTTCCACAGCTCAGGGCTCAAGCTCCCTGTTAAAGGAAGAGAGACGAAAGGACCGCATAAAAGCCTAGCGAAGAAGGAAAGAACTAGCAATGATTTTATATTTTTTGACATTACCTTTTTTTAACTCTCTGAAATATTGTGAGTTTTTTGAGCAAAAATAAATTGTAAAATAAATACATTGAGAGAAAATCGAAGGGTTATTATTAGCCCCACTCCAACATTGCCATTGTTTCTTCTTAAACAGTAAAAATAAAAGGAGATATTTTTGGAACTCTCGAACCAGTTAGGCAAATATCGAACTGTAACCTACCAGATAAGCGACATTTTCATGAATCGAAATTGGATACAGACACCTTGATGCAGACTTTGGAGAAATCGTGGAACAGCTCGATCCAGATAGAGTTCAAGAAGCCACAGACTTCATGTTGAAAGAAGCAGACATATTTGTGATGGACAGCCTCTTCCGAGGATAGACGATACATTAACAACTCTATCAGGCTCCAAATGGTTTTCCATCTTGGATCTTAAAAGTGGCAAGTGTCAAATACCAGTTCAACGGGATGCCTTTCGGATTGTGTAATGCTCCAGCTACGTTTCAGCGACTGATGCATCTTGTTTTGCGAGGCCTCTCATGGAGAACTTGCCTGGTCTATTAAGGTGATGTCATGATCATGGGAAATTTTTTCCAAAAACATCTCAATAACCCAAAAGAAGTTTCTGACCGCTTCCGGAATGCCAACTTAAAATTCATTCCAAAAAAGTGTTTTCTATTTAAAAAAAAAAAAGTGAAATTTTTAGGTCACGAGGTATTTGAAGATGGCAAACAAGTTATGGAAGGAAAGATTGAGGGATTGGTCAAAGCCACGTGACAAACATGAACTAAGGAGTTTTCTGGGATTATGATTTTCTTATTATCGAAGATTTGTAGAAGGATTCGCTAATAAAGCTGCTCCGCTTCATCGATTAACGGAAGAAAAATCAACGTTCAATTGGACCCAAGAATGCGATTCCGCATTTAGAAAATTGAAAGGAGCATTATGTAAGTATTGTCCTACCCTGACCAGAAAGACATGTTGATTTCGAACACAGATTCAAGCAACACAAGCATTGGAGCTGTCCTTTCACAATTATTGTTGTGTCACCAGAATGGAGTTGCTTGTCATAATAAAAGCAGTCGACCATTTCCATAAGTATCTCTACAGACGTAAGTTTCTAATTTGAACAGATCACGCGGATCTAAAATGGCTTTTAGAAATAGCCCAGTGTCTATCCAGCCAAACCATGAACAAATCAGAGACAATTTGGTATATAAGTTTATATCGGGGTCCTTGAAATACCACGAAACCCCACCGGTAATCGGCCGTGCCTGTCACCCCTAAACAACCCCTTAAAGAGGTGAAAATCGGACTTTTTTAATTTTTTGGGAAATAACTTAAAAACAAAGCTATTTACAAAAAAATATGAAGGAAGAAAAAATAAAGAACATAGAATTTCCTATAAAATCACGTTAAGCAGTTATATTTTGCTTTACCAGTGGCGGAGTTATAATATATCTAACAATCCATAGGGATATTTTGGAAAATACATTCAAAACATTCTTAAGTCAATAAATTAGAAATAAAAAGCATACCAGTGGAGTACAAGTAGGTATTATATTTTTAATTTCATACATTAATTTGTATGAGTTAATAGAATTAATAATATACGTATGCGTATTGAATGTAGCAAAATAATTACATATTTTGAATATCCGTGGAATTTCCGCTTTTGATTAGGTACTTCTTAACTGCATATTTAGAGATGTCATCTGCCTCTATATCTGTTATACACATCTGTGCCTCTAATATAAATATGTAATGAGATTCTTTATCTTTAAAAACTCTCACTACTCGGTATTTCATTTCTTACTAGAGAAGAAACTTGATCTTCAAAATACAAGGGCTATACATCCATACGAACAAAACATTATTTGGAGTTGGACTTTTATTGTCATTGTCATGCGTTAAACCAAGCATTTTTCTCTTACGTCATTTTCTGATCAGGAACCCAACTGGGAACTGAAAAGATACCCAGGCGTTCTTTGCTACATTAGGAGATACAACAATACAGGGCAAATGCCGCCGAAATTGAAACTCATAGGCATTCAGCAGTTCCATTCGAGAACAAGCAGAAAAGTATAGTCTCCTACTTCACTAAGATGTAGGTCAAGCTCTATCTCTATTGACGTCTTCTCTCTATTGATTTCCACAAAAAAGAAGAAGACAGCAAGTGCCATAGCGATAGGGATAAGGATCTCTACCCGTTACAGAGTTCCAGCCCCAAATTACCTTGCGATCTGATATTTGGAATACCTAAAGAAAAACGAGATTATGCCGAGGAAGTAAGGGCACGACTTCTGGGGATACTTCATTTAACTCGGGAACATATTCAGCTGGCCAGTGACCGAATAAAGACCAAATACGACTTGAAAGCCAATTCACCCGGATTTCAAGAAGGTGATTTGGTATGGCTGTATAATCCAACAAGAAAGAAAGGAGTGTCACTGAAATTGTCTGAAAGTTGTACATTTGGACATATTGACGAAATATCATGGGCGTGAAGTTGATCGGGACGATCAACCTTAGGAGGAGGGCAGTGTCGCGACGCGCCTTCGCCATGGTATACAGAATCCATGCCCAAAATTCCAGAGAATACTTCTTTATTCGGGAAAAAAGATTATCGCGTTTATTCTGGATTATACAAGAATGTATTGCGGAGATATAAAGGCCGGAATTAGTTAGTAGTTTCAAGTTTAAGATTGACGGTGATATGATTTATATAGTGATTATTGTTGAGAGTTGTAAAGAGTTTAGTTGTTGAGTTAGTTAGTGTCAGAGTGTATAGTAACGTGGAATAAATTATTATTGTGTTAATTGGACATTGATTTTGAATAAACTGTCATCCAAGCCAGAGTCATGACAATATGATCAAGAATTCTTTCAAATTTCTATTATTTCAATAATTTTTCTTTGATTTCTCACGCGTTTTTAAAAGTTTCGAGCCTCAAATCCATCAACTTTCGGCTTATTTTCCTTGTATAAAAGAGGCTATTGTTGATAGTGGAAGTGAACTGTTATTTTAAGTGCATCTTAACCTGAAGACGCAGCCAGGTAGGTAAGTATTTAACACCGAAAAAAAAAATAAACCGTTATATATGCTGGCGCAAAAATCTTTAAATGCAGACTGCTTGATTGAGGTCAGTCATTTCAGTTTTCAAGTAAGTATAATATAAATGAGTATGGAATTATTGAGCCAGTTTATCAATTTTGCTTACAGTTTCCGTAATTTTCAACAAATCAACATGAATCATAGATTTTCTAAAAGAGAATTAAATTCTCTATAAATCCTTCAAAAATTGATTCAGTTGCTTTTGCAGATTCTGAGAGATTATGCTTCAAAGTTAGAACTTCAATAGGTATATTATAAAATTTTATCACGATACTTTTCATGTTATTTGTGGCATTCAGAAAACACATGTCGCATAAGAAGGCAGGTAGAAAACTCGGGCGACAGATGCACACACAAAACACAAAAGGCCTTTTAATAAATGCCTTCCTGGCCTCGGCAATTAACATACAGGACGTTTCAAAAACATACTTACTTGGAAAGTTAATTTTATAATAAAGTCAACTGTAAATTTTTTTTGGGAATTTCTATTTTTCCCTATTTGATAGAGTAGATCAAAAATGACTCTATTTTCCAAAGAAAAGTGCTAATAGTGCAACAATTATTATAATGAAAAGTGTGTAGCAATAATTATTATAATGAGAAATTGCTGATAGATGCAAAACTGGACATAAATTATTGCAATTGCAGCGTATCACGTTACGGATTTGTTAAAAATAATATATACGTCTTACATTCACTTTGATGGGACTTTTATATATGATTTTTCAACTAATAGATTTTTAAATTGTTACCTACATGGCACACCTTGTATATAATAGGCAATGAACTCACATTTGTTTGTATAATTCAATATGCAAATAACCAGAAAATGAAATACCACCCACACAAACACACAGTGATTATATCAACACAACAATGCCCATTCAAATGGTATTTTCGATTAATGCAAATGATAGTTTTGTGTGTTTAGACTGTAATGTATATAGAATACATACAAAAGTTAAAAAAATCGATGTTTTCATGTCACAAAAGCCCCTCTTTGTACCCTTATACCGGCTCGAAAGGACCATTTAATTTTATTTTTGGGCTCACCTCAATTTCCGCTAAAATCCCGACCACAATGCAGACGAACGCCGCCGCTGGACGCAACATTTTCGTCGAAAAAATCCTTTTAAATTTTTTTTCAAATCGTTCACTGTTTTATTATTAAGGGAATCACCGCACACGGAACATACACAGCACGAACTCTCAACTATTACTGCTCCACCTACTATTGGTCGAAAGACGCGTGCGCAAAGTGAATGAGTCATTTCGGTTTGGGAAAAGTTTCGCGGCGTTGCCGATTCTATTGAGCTAGCGCTAGTTTAAAGATTTTCTTTGGGAAATGCGCAATGAACACAGGTATAGAGCTTGTGGTGTAATTTAAATTCGGTATTGCACTAGGGATGGAATCCTTAAGGGGTTTCTATTTAAGTAGTGCTAGATTTTGTGTTTTTTTTGTTGTATATTTGTAGTTTTACTTTAGATTTTTTTAGAGGCAATCAATGATTATTACCGGCTCTTGATTTGCTGGGAGGTTGTTCCTAAGGGGCAAACCATCTAAGAATTCTTTGCCAAAAATGTGGGAAATTTATAGGTGGGAAATTTAAAGGAATTTGTGAGGAACACATCCGAATTTATAGGGAATTTAGGAGAATTTGTGACGAATTTATAAGGAATTTAAAGGAAATTGTCAAATTTAAAATATTCAAAAGAATAATGAATACAGTTTTTGTAGGCTGATTTCCAAGATTCCTCATGTTGTAATTTTCTACTGGAAAAATTTGAAATTCTGGGAAAATGAGCTTCTCACCTTCCTCTTTACATGCAAAAAGTTTCAAAATTTTCTCTTCCTTAGTTTTCCAGGAAAACTTTGAAATGTGTGAGACTGTATTTTCAACTAATTCAGTTTTTGTAGGTTGATTTCCAAGATTTCTCATGTTGCTGTTTTCCACTGGAAAAATTTGAAATTTTGGGAAAATGAGCTTCTCAGCTTCTTATTTACATGCAAAAAGTTTTAAATTTTCCCTTTAATTTTTTTCAGGAAAATTTTGAAATGTGTGAGATTGTATTTTCAACTAATTCAGTTTATGTAGGTTGATTTCCAAGATTTTTCATGTTGTAATTTTCTACTGGAAAAATTTGAAATTCTGGGAAAATGAGCTTCTCACCTTCCTCTTTACATGTAAAAAGTTTCAAAATTTTCTCTTCCTTAGTTTTCCAGCAAAACTTTGAAATGTGTGCGACTGTATTTTCAACTAATTCAGTTTTTGTAGGTTGATTTCCAAGATTTCTCATGTTGCTGTTTTCCACTGGAAAAATTTGAAATTTTGGGAAAATGAGCTTTTCAGCTTCTTATTTACATGCAAAAAGTTTTAAATTTTCCCTTTAATTTTTTTCAGGAAAATTTTGAAATGTGTGAGATTGTATTTTCAACTAATTCAGTTTATGTAGGTTGATTTCCAAGATTTTCCATGTTGTTATTTTCCACTGGAAAAATTTGAAATTTCGGGAGAATGAGCTTCTTACCTTTCTCTTTATATGCAAAAAGTTTCAAAATTTTCTCTTCACTAGTTTTCCAGGAAATCTTTGAAATGTGTGAGACTGTATTTTCAATTAATTCAGTTATTGTAGGTTGATTTCCAAGATTCCTCATGTTGTAATTTTCTACTTGAAAAATTAAAAATTTTGGGAAAATGAGCTTCTCACCTTCCTCTTTACATGCAAAAAGTTTCAAAATTTTCCCTTTTCTAGTTTTCCAGGGAAACTTTGAAATGTGTGAGACTATATTTTAAACTTATTCAGTTTTTGTAGGTTGATTTCCAAGATTCCTCATGTTGTAATTTTCTCCTTGAAAAATTCAAAATTTTAGGAAAATGAGCTTCTTACCTTCCTCTTTACATGCAAAAAGTTTCAAAATTTTCCCTTTTCTAGTTTTCCAGGAAAACTTTGAAATGTGTGAGACTGTATTTTCAACTTATTCAGTTTTTTAGGTTGATTTCCAAGATTTTCCATGTTGTTATTTTCCACTGGAAAAATTTGAAATTTCGGGAGAATGAGCTTCTTATTTTTCTCTTTATATGCAAAAAGATTTAAAATTTTCTCTTCAGTAGTTTTCCAGGAAATCTTTGAAATGTGTGAGACTGTATATTCAATTAATTCAGTTATTGTAGGTTGATTTCCAAGATTCCTCATGTTGTAATTTTCTACTTGAAAAATTCAAAATTTTGGGAAAATGAGCTTCTCACCTTCCTCTTTACATGCAAAAAGTTTCAAAATTTTCCCTTTACTAGTTTTCAAGGAAAACTTTGAAATGTGTGAGACTTTATTTTTAACTAATTCAGTTTTTGTAGGTTGATTTCCAAGATTTTTCATGTTGTTGTTTGCAACTGGAAAACTTTGAAGTTTTGGGAAAATGAGCTTCTCACCTTCCTCTTTACATGCAAAAAGTTTCAAAATTTTTCCCTTAACTAGTTTTCCAGGAAATCTTTGAAATGTGTGAGACTTTATTTTTAACTAATTCAGTTTTTGTAGGTTGATTTCCAAGATTTTTCATGTTGCTGTTTGCTACTGGAAAAATTTGAAGTTTTGGGAAAATGAGCTTCTCACCTTCCTCTTTACATGCAAAAACTTTCAAAATTTTCCCTTAACTAGTTTTCCAGGAAATCTTTGAAATGTATGAGACTGTATTTTCAATTAATTCAGTTATTGTTGGTTGATTTCCAAAATTTTTCATATTGCCGTTTTCCACTAGAAAAATTTGAAATTTTGGGAAAATGAGCTTCTCACCTTCCTCTTTACATGCAAAAAATTTCAAAATTTTCCCTTCACCAGTTTTCCAGGAAAACTTTGAAATGTTTGAGACTGTATTTTCCACTAATTCAGTTTTTGTAGGTTGATTTCCAAGATTTTACATGTTGCTGCTTTCCACGGGAAAAATTTGAAATTTTGGGAAAATGAGCTTCCCACCTTCCTCTTTAAATGCAAAAAGTTTCAAAATTTTCCCTTCACTAGTTTCCCAGGAAAACTTTGAAATGTGTGAGACTGTATTTTTAACTAATTCAGTTTTTGTAGGTTGATTTCCAAGATTTTTTATGTTGCTGTTTTCTACTGGAAAAATTTGAAATTCTGGGAAAATGAGCTTCTCGCCTTCCTCTTTACATACAAAAAGTTTCAAAATTTTCCCTTTTTTTAGAGGAATTTGTGGGGTATTTGGAGAAGTTCGTGGTGTGGTATTTGGAGGAATTTGTGATGGAATATCTGAAAGAATTTGGAGGAATTTGTAGAAATTTTGAGGAATAATGCGTAAAAAATTCCCCTTTGAGGAATTGTTTGCACCAATTCTGGGATGGTGGTTTACCCCTTGGTTGTTTCTATAGAGGCTTTTAATAGTTCAAGTTATGATTACTATCGGCTCTCAATGGCCTAAACTATCATTCTAGAGACGATCAAGAGCCTGTAATAATTAAAATTTGGATTATTATGGATTCTTGATGACTTACAATATTATTCTAGAGACGATCAAGATAGTAGTATCATAATTCTATTTCTAAACTTCAAATTCACTTCAGATTTATTTTATTTGAAGAAAAGACTCTATATATGACTTTCTGAAAGTTTAAAGTAACTCTGATCCCTGCAAGTATTTTTCAGAAGCTTCCAAAGGAGATTTATTTTAAAAAATCAGGTATTTTTTCTATTAATAAAGAGAAGTAATCATAATTCTATATCTGAGTTTCAGATTCACTTGAGATTTGTTTTATTTAAAGATAAGACTCTGATTATGAATTCCTGAAAGTTTCAAGTTGCTCAGATTCCTGGAAGTATTTTTTGGAAAAATTCCAAAGTTGATTTGTTAAGAATTTTACAAGGATTTTTTAAAAAATTTATAATTTTTTTTCTGATGCTCAGATTGACTTCAGATTTGTTATATTTGTAGAAAAGACTTTAACTATAGATTCATGGAAGTTTCAAGTTGCTCAGATTCCTATAAGTATTTTTGAAAAAATTCCAAAGTTGATTTGTTAAGAATTTGACAAGAATTTTTAAAAAAATTCATAATTTCGTTTCTGAGGCTCAGATTGACTTCAGATTTGTTATATTTGAAGAAAAGACTTAAATTATGAAATTCCTGAAGTTTTAAGTCACTCTGATCCCTGGAAGTATTTTCCAAAGGAGATGAGATTTATAGAAAGAAAACATGTATTTTTGCTAATAACAAGAAAAAATTATCATAATTCTATTTTTGAGCTTCAGATTCACTTCAGATTTGTTTTCTTTATCTTATAGTCGCTGGGCACCACTGCCTAAAATCTCTCTATCCTAATATTCCTTATATAAATTCTTTTTATGTTGCAACTCTTTTTTGAACTCTGATGTAATTTCAGGTTTTTGTTTCTCTACAATTGGTAGCTTAGTTTTAAGACTTCTTGAAAATAGAATTTCAGCTGGTGATCGCTTTAAACTTGTGATAGGAGTGTTTCGATACTCCAGCTACCCAAATATCATCAGACTTACGAATTAGGTTCTTAGCCGTTTGAACAAACCTTTCTGCCTGGGATATCTAAGGCTACTTGTTTGAATTTTAAAATCAAATTGATTTGTAAAATCCTTACATTCATATGAAACAAACTGCATATTATCAGCAACAATAATATCAGTTGCAAATATTTGCTTAAATGCATTTATAACGTCACAAGATTGTTTTCCTTTTATAGGTATTATTTCAAGCCATTTAGTCAAATAATCTACAACAATTAAATATGATTTTCCCACTGTACTCCATTATGTCACAACCACAACCCAACTTCTAAAAAGGTAATTCAGGAATATCATGTGTAATTAATGGTTCTTTCACATTTGCATATCTGAATTTTTCACAAACCTTACAATGCCTTATAATATTCTCAATATACATACTCATACCTGGCCAAAACAATACACCACGAGTTCTATCTCTCGTATAATCAATTTTTTGGAAATATTCAGGTGCCAGATTCAAACCAAATGGTAACCTGCGAAACTTGTAACAATCAAACAGAGAAGCAAATGTCGTTAAATTACTAGAAGGTTTATCCAATTTTATTTGATGAAACCCATCCTTGAAATCTAATACAGAAAAATATTTCTTACCTAGAACTAATTTCTTCCAGACTAGGGATTTAAAAAAAAATGCCTTTTAATGCACTTATTCAAGTCTTGAGGATCTAAACACAACCCTAAGGATTTATCGGGTTTTCCAATAGTTATTAAATTATTTACCAAGTCCCTTGCCTCATCTATACTCTGCCTATAATATTTTGTCTTTCTACAATTAAAAAAATCAAAAATCAGGCCATATTAGTCTGTATTGTAAAATATCACTAAGTGTCTCTTTGGAATTAAAAAAATCGTAATTCCCTTAATTTTGTTTTTTTTCTCAATTGAATTTTGGTGTGTTAAAGCTAAAATGCTTCTGGATATATGAAAAAATTCTTCATTCTCCAAAGTATCTCAGATTTGCAGGAAAAAAATCTAAAATCAGGCCATAGTCTGTTTTGTGAAAATATCACTTATTGTCTTTTTGGGAATAAAAAATCGTAACTCTGCTATCTTTGGTTTTCCTCTAATCAAATTCTGATATGACAAAGCTAAAAGGCTTCTGGATATATAAAAAAAAAATCATTCTCCAAAGTATCCCAGATTTCCAGGAAAAAAATCTAAAATCAGGCCATAGTCTGTTTTGTGAAAATATCACTTATTGTCTTTTTGGGAATAAAAAATCGTAACTCCGCTATCTTTGGTTTTCTTCCAATCAAATTTTAGTATGTTAAAGCTAAAAGTCTCCTGGATATTTGAAAATAAAAAAAAAATCATTTTCCAAAGTTTCTCAGATTTCCTGGACCGGGACGCACCCAGGGGGGAGCCATGGAGCCCCCCCCTTTTCCAAAACTGTATCTTTGCGCATAAAAAAAATGTGACAAATTTAGGGCGTGGCACCCTGACACTTCAGTTTTTTTTCTCAGATTTTCAGTCACAAGTCACAACCTATGTAGGGCCCCTTCCAAACATATTTTCTGGGTGCGCCACTGCTTCAACCCATACTACTTTATTTTTCTCTTCATCAAGTTGCTTTATACTATTCACATATAATTTATCAGTTTCTTTTTCTACACTGTCATCACTGTCTATTTCCTTCTGAATAAGTTCTTTAATTTTTTCAACGTTCTCTCCTTGACGTTTTCCAAATTTTTCTGCTAGGTGAACACTACTATGATGATTGAACCATTTTTTTCCAAACGCAGGACATTCTGCAAATCCATGTTTACCATTGCACTTTTCACAGAGAAAGGTTTTTATCTTGCCATCTATTTTCTCTTTTCTTTTCAACTTCAATCCATCCACTCCAGAACATTCTCTTTCTCTTACTGACTGTAACTGATTTTTCGTTGCTTCGGCATTTCTACATACGTCTACTGCTCTTTCAGAATTTGTTAATTGAAGTTTTTTCATGCTTTCAAAACGACTTCACATTTGAAATAAATATAAACTGAAGCTTCTTCTCTAGAACATTATAAACCCCTAGTTGAAATTTGGTTCATGTTTCTTTCAATGCTTCCTATAGAAATATACTATTTTGAAATCTTCGATACGGACTTAAAAAAAAAAGTATGCAAAAATACTGAAAAGTTCATTCAAGATTTTGTCTTCGAATGACCGACGACGTCGCGTCGTCATTATTCATCTAAAGGCGTCCCTGGATCGATGGACGCGTCTCGCGGCAAGGCGTCGGCGTAGCGGCGCCTGCTGCTGCCGCCTGGCGTCGCTTTTTATTTTCTCAACTTGACCCTTGGTATTTCAATTATACGATGGGCCTTTTTATCAAATGCCAAATCCATATAATTACAATAATTTTGGTTTTTCGGTATCAAATATTGCTGGCAAGAGAATTCCGATTGATCATCTCTCTGAGGGCTAGTAAATTTTAAATTATTATTGGTATATTGGGCCCAATCTGATATTATATATAGGTACAGTACATATGTATATATGATGAATGATAAATTTCTACCCTTATATATGATAAAATTAAAGTTTTCACATTTCTAGGAAAGTGATAAAATAAATAATTACTTGAAAGTTGTAATTGGACTAGATCCGGACGATCCCAAAAAAAACAAAGTTTAAGCTGGAATTTGAAACTTTTCCTTATTGAAACTTTCAAAGCCTCATCCCGAGAACTTAAAGTATATTTTACTTCAACTTCAATATAGGAATCTAAAATGTTACAATTAAGCAACACTGTATTTCAACGTAAAGAAATAAATAGAGATCATGTCATATTCAATATTAACAACAACAAGTTCGGAGTTTTAGAGAGGTTTTACAAAATAAAATAATCCACATTATATTTATATATAAATAATATATTTATATAGTACAAAATCACTTAAAAGTATCAGCAGAATCAGTCGCCAACATCTTAGAAAAATAACTGTCCTTATTCTCAAGCAAACGCCTTGGATCATCAAACTCCACAATTTGCCCTTTATCCAAAACAATGATTCTATCACAATGTAGCACCGCATGTAGCCTATGAGCAATAATAAACACTGTAGAATCTTTGAAATTATCATCAATAGCTTGCTGAGCAAAAATCTCTGTATCTGGATCCATGTTGGCCGTAGCCTCGTCCAAAACAACTATTTTGTTCTTTTTGATTATAGCGCGAGCCAAACAAATCAACTGCCTTTGGCCTGTAGAAAAATTAGAACCATGATCGGTTATAGTAAGTTCTAAATTGTCAATGTGCTCACGCATGTGGACTTTATCCAAAGTTTTCCAAATATCATCATCGGAATAGCTGTTGTGTGGGTCAATGTTTTGCCTTATAGTGCCTTGAAATAATAGCGGATCTTGTGGAATAATTGATATTTTGTTTCGTAAATAATCCAGGCTGATTTGTTTGGTATCAATGCCATCAACTTTGACAATTCCGTCAAAATTGTAGAGCCTAAACAAGGCGGATATTACTGAAGATTTTCCCGCACCTGTACGACCAACAATTCCGACTTTCTGTTGGGGCTTGACTTCGAAACTGATGTCTTTGAGGACCCTGTCTGATTTGTAGGTTAGTGAGACGTTTTTGTAGAGGATTGCACCTTTTGAGGGCCAGTCTTGAGGTTTGTCTCCTTGGTAGTCGTCTTGAGGTAAGGCACTGTATTCTAGAACTCTTTCTACTGACGTCATGTCGTTTTCCAGGTCAGAGAGTTGCATCAGGGCCCACTGGACCAGGCCTGCTAGCATTGAGGCTTTGGTTATTGCTAGGCCAACATCACCACCAACTTCACCTAAAATTTGAAGTACATAATAATAAACAGAATCTTAGATACAAAATTATTATACCTGTATTGAAAAATAGCAGCTTTCCAACTATGATTGATAGAAAAGTGCACGATAGCATCTCCATGCAAAATCCAAAGGCTCCTCTGGCACAAAAAGTCATGTAGTAGGCCGAGGTGTAGAGATCTTGGTGCCTGTCAAATTCTTCTACAAGGACTTTTTGGGCTTTGAAGGCTCGCACCGTTGTGACGCCTTCCATGGTTGCGTTCAGGTGGCCGATTAGAGGACTGCGAGCTGGAAATCAACTTCAAATTAGCTTTTCCACAAAAGGGAAACTTCAGTTAATAAATCCTGAAAGTTTCAAGTTACTGAAATCATTGGAAGTATTTTGCATAAATAATTTTTTCAGATTTTAATGCTTTAACATGAGAAAAAGCTTCTAAATTCAGTTGGAAGCTTCAAATTAACTTTTCCACAAAAGGGAAACTTCAGTTCATACATCCTGAAAGTTTCAAGTCACTGTTATTATTAGAAGGGCCCAACCAATGACATCTCAACACAGATAGACACCGCATCTCATTCATAAACTGATGTTTGTTGTGATGTCAAGACCTCCCATGGGCCAGAAGAGGTGAGCTGAGCCGATCTCCTCGAATTTTCGGCTGTCCTGCAACATGGTTTTTATTAGGTTTTGAAGCCCTTATTGAGAGCTACAAGTACTGACAATTTTGTTCCAGTACCGCCGTTTTCTAATTCTCCCTAAGTTATTGTAATTTTCGTAATTTCAAAAACTTGTGATTTCCGTTATTTTGGGAATTACCGTAATTCATGTAATTTTGGCATAACTCTGTAATTCTTTCCCGTAATATTTCATAATACCCGTAATTTTTGTAATTTTCGTAGTTTTTCATATTTTCCTTAATTCCCGTAATTTTTATAATTTCTCATAATTCCCGTAAATTTTCGTCATTTCCGTCATTTTACTAAGGTCTGTAAATTTTTATAATTCCCATTATTTTTCGTAATTCCCGTAATTTGTCTTGTTAGTTTTCGTAACTTTTCAAAAATTAGTAATATTTAAATAATTGACGTAATTTTGGAGCAACTTCGTAATTCGTTTGTGTAATATTTGGCAATTTCCATAATTTTTGTAATTCCCGCAATTTTTTGTTATTCCGTGCTTCTCGTCATGTTCCGTAATTCTCGTAAATGTTTGCAATTCTCATAATTTTTCATATTTTACGTACTTTAACGTAATTCCCGCAATTTTTCGTAGCTTTTCAAAAATTATCGTTGTTCTCGTAATTTTGAAATGAGGAAAAATTAGGATAAAATCGCGGAAAGTGATGATAAAATCGCAAAAAAAAAGAGTCAAAAATCGCAAAAAAAAACATGAGTCAAAAATTTCAAAGAAAGTGAGTTTAAACTCGAGGAAAAGTAAGATGAGACTCACGGAAAAATGAGGATAAAGTCACGAAATAGAATGAAATGTCTAGAAAAACTTTAAGGTTGAATAGAGAACGAATGATAATGATTTCCCTTGTTCCACTTCCAGCATTCCCAGCGCTTTTTGGCCACCTTATTGTTGTTGTCTTCCTCTGCATCGCGACAGGAGGCAAACCACATCTCGCTCTAAAATCTAATACTTTTTTCCCTTGTATAATGAATAACTATAATTGATAGAATGTTCCATCTTTCGGTATTAAAGTTGCTCAATATATTGGAATATAGAATATCATCCATAATTTTTTGGAATATAGCCGGCGCGTTTTTCAAACCAAAGGGCATGCGCAAGAACTCATAATGCCCGTTTTCTGTGCTGAATGCGTTTTTTTATTATGTCGTTTACATGCATCTAGATCCAGCTTCTTCAAGAGATCCGTTATGTTGGGTAATGGGTATCTGTCAAACTGTTTGTCAAAGTGGTGGTCCGTAAGACCTCCACTGGTATTCCGTCCACTCCCGGTGCTTTTTTGTTTTCCAGTCTATTGCTTGCTCCAATGATTTCCTCCGTTGTTATATCGGGTATGCCTATTTCTCTTTCATTTTCGCTCTAGATAGTCTCGTCTCTTGTGGTTACCTGTGTTTGTGAGAGGCTAGGTACTTCTTCCTTAGCTCTGCAGTCTCTTGTGACTACCAATATACCGGTTTTCTGTGTCCTGTCTTATTCATATGTAGCATTATCATATGTCGTATAATTCAGTGAGTATTTCAATTATTTGCTTCGCTGTTGTAATGGTACCCCTTTTCCCTATTTCTCCGCTGATTTAATGATAGTTTAGCCATCTCTTCTTCAGAGACTCTTGTTTTTCTGTCTCTTTTGTACTAACTGTGCTTCCTCCTATCTCGATATAGATGTATTTGTAGTCGCTAAGAGTCTCTATTTCCAAGACTTTCCATTGAGTTGTCTTTGCTCCTATTTTACCTCTAGTCATGGTGAGATCGCTGAAGGTTGCCTCTGTGCCCGTGTTAGTCAGGCTCAAGTTTCTAGTCGCCATCCAGTGACTCTCCCCTTTGGTAAGTGTGTGGCACGCCCCACTCCGGCGCGGCAGCGTAATAGACTCCCGTGATGACAATATCTCCATTGATTGTCCCTATATTCTCTAGTACCTATGTCGTAGAATTCCTCTATTGATTTGGACGGTGAAATGTAGCAACTGAATAGGCAAAAGTTTGTCATCTCTGCCCAGACGAAATTCCCCTTTTCTCCACATGTGTTGCATGGGATTTTCGTGTTTGTCATATTCAAGGCTGCATCTTTGTTGCGGTCGCTTAACCATGGAAGATTATCCACCTCTTTTAGGTTCGGTTCTGAAACGGCTAGTAGAAGTTGTCCAACTCAGGTCCGATGATTCGGTTTATCAACCTTTGGAACGTTGCTGGGGCGGAATGGAGGCCGAATGGCATGACTCGGAATTGGAAGAGGCCCATGCTCGGTACGGTGAAAGATGTTATACACACGAATTGTTAAATTTATTATAAAATTTGAGAAATATTCATTGATTTTGTGTAAATACACGTATACCCTTGCCACATACACTTTGAAGCCTCATATCTTGAAAAGCACTTGAGATATCGGTTTCAAACCTATTCTATCTTGAAAAGCATTCAATTCTTATTCGAAACTGCTAATTTTGAGAAATATTCATTGAGCTAAGAATGATTTTGTGAATACATACGTATGCCTTTTGGTTTAAAAATGCCCCTACCACATATAATTTGAAGTCTCATATCTCGAAAACCACTTAAGATATTGAATTCAAACCTGTTCTATCTTGAAAAGCATTCAATTCTGATTCGAAATTGTTAAATTTATTATAAAATTTGAGAATTATTCCTTGATTTTGTGTATACACACGTATGCCCTTCCCACATACACTTTAAAGCCTCATATCTTGAAAACCACTTGAGATATCGATTTCAAACCTGTTCTTTCTTGTAAAGCATTTAATTCTGATTCGAAACTGCTTGTTTCAGTATGAAATTTGAGAAATATTCATTGAGCTGAGAATGATTTTGTGTATACACACTTAGGACTTTTGGTTTGAAAAATAGTTCTGCCACATACACTTTGAAGCCTCATATCTCGAAAACCACTCGAGATATTGAATTCAAACCTATTCTATCTTGAAAAGCATTCAATTCTGATTCGAAATTGCTAAATTTAGTGAAAAATTTGAGAAATATTCATTGATTTTGTGTATACACACGTATGCCCTTCCCACATACACTTTGATGCCTCATATCTTAAAAATCACTCTAGAAATCGGTTTCAAACCTGTTCTATCTTGTGAAGCATTCAATTCTGATTCGAAACTGCTAATTTCAGTATCAAATTTGAGAAATATCTATTGAGCTAAGAATGATTTTGTGTATACATACGTATGCCTTTTGGTTTAAAAATGCCCCTACCAGATATAATTTGAAGTTTCATATCTCGAGAACCACTAAAGATATTGAATTCAAACCTGTTCTATCTTGAAAAACATTCAATTCTGATTCAAAATTGTTAAATTTAGTATAAAATTTGAGAAATATTCATTGATTTTGTGTATATACACGTATGCCCTTACCACATACACTTTGAACCCTCATAGCTTGAAAACCACTTGAGATATCGGTTTCAAACCTGTTCTATCTTGTAAAGTATTCAATTTTGATTCGAAACTGCTAATTTGAGTATGAAATTTGAGAAATATTCATTGAGTTGAGAAAGATTTTGTGAATACATACGTATGCCTTTTGGTTTAAAAAATTCCCCTACCACATATAATTTGAAGTCTCATATCTCGAAAACCACTTAAGATATTGAATTCAAACCTGTTCTATCTTGAAAAGTATCCAATTCTTATCCGCAATTGTTGAATTTAGTATAAAATTTGAGAAATATTCATTGATCTTGTGTATATACACGTATGTCTTTACCACATACACTTTGAAGCCTCATATCTTGAAAACCATTTGAGATATCGGTTTCAAACCTGTTCTATCTTGTAGGGCATTCAATTCTGATTCGAAACTGCTAATTTTAGTATGAAATTTGAGAAATATTCATTGATTTTGTGTATACACACGTATGCCCTTGCCACATACACTTTGAAGCCTCATATCTCGAAAACCATTTAAAATATTGAATTCAAACGTATACATATATGTATATACAGGCACAATAAGACGCTGCATGAGGCTATATCTAGTAAAGAAATTCATGGTCACTGCAGACACGACTACCAGAAGTAATGTAGACATTCCTCAAGTACTCACTCCAAGCTCACAGCCAGGAAAAAGCAGATACCATCATGATTCTTCATGCAAGTACAATTTACAAGGATGTTGAGGTTGTGGCCTACTCCCTAGATACCAGCCGTGTTACTTCTGTTGATTCAGCTGCACAAAAATCTGCCTCCCAACATCTCACTGTTCACTGGAAAAGGCAAAGCTTTGCAGAAAATACATATAAAACCAATATGTGAAAAACTGGGAAAGAATCGTGCAGGGGCCTGTTGCCCTTTATTAATCTTAGATAAGCTAAGGAGGGCAAGATATATTTGCAGTATAAACCTTAAACAAGGATACTGGCAGGTACGCTATCCGAAAATAGTAAACCGATAACATCTTTTACTGTACCGGACATGGGCCTCTTCTAATTCCGAGTCATGCCATTCGGCCTCCATTCCGCCCCAGCAACGTTCCAAAGGCTGATGGACCAAATCATTGGACAACTTTTGCTTTGCTTAGTGTAGACCTAAGATAAAATTTCGACAACACCTCTATGCACCTTCTTCCATCTCTTCCGGTGTAAAATGTAAACTTGAAACCATCACACCTTGTGTAATTTAATTTTTCTGAAGGAATTTCCAGTTAAGTTCCAAACTCAGACTTTCGAAATTACACTATTTGCCTTTCAAAATCAACGTATTTGTTGTTTTATACAAGACAATACTTACCTGGAAAAATATTTACTGAAAAGATTAGATTACTCACTGGCAGATTCCAATCGTTTCAAACTCCTAGCGGCCGGTATGTACAAACGCTGCATGCAAATCATCATTATTACAAGTACCACAGCTGGAATTAAAAATCTCCAGTTTACAGTTGAAACTAGACCCACTACACCTCCAACTGAGAGTACTACCTGAATTAAAAAAAAAAACATCATGTCTAGTAAATCAAATAAATAATTCCTTACCCTAGTAAAATGATTAATAGTGTGCGGCAAATGTTCATCAATCTTGGTCAAATCCTGCGAAAACCTATTCAAAATATTCCCAATGAAATAATTATCATAGAAACTCATCACTGTTGTGGTCAGCTTTTCAATCATTTCATTATGCAAATTAATTGAAGCCTTTCTTGCAAAATTAATAAACAAATACTGCTTGACCAAATCCAACAGCACCGAACCCAAAATCATTGCCGAGTAGATTTTCAGCAACCAATCAGCTTTATCAGTCATCAAAACAACTTCGTTTGTAGTCCAATTGCCCACTTTCATATTGCTGACATTTTGCTCGATATTGATCCAGTTGGTTAGAAGTCTTGAGGAGTAGCTTTCTGAAAACTCTGCCCCAACAAACAAGGAGGCAATGGCTAAAAATACACAAAATCCACCTCCATAAGAGAAATATTGCTTGTAAACCCCCATATCCACTTGGCCGGTTTTTTTAATTTCACTGTAAACCTTTTTGCGGCCCTTGGCAAGCGATGGCAACAACTTAGATTTTTCTGTTGCTTCATCATTTTCATCATCAATTTGTTCATCAATTTCATCTTTTTCAATCTCTTTAATCAAATCAACTTTGGCCCCAGTTGGTTTTCCATCGTAAATTAATTTACCATCTTTTAATACAATCAACTGATCAGCGCTGTTTTTGTGTCTCAAATTATGTGTAACCAGCACGACAAATTCTCCCTTTAAAAAGCCTTGAATACAGTTTTGGAAAATGTAATCTTGGACATTTGGGTCTAAGGCGTGTAATGGATCATCTAACAAGTAAATGTCGCTTTTTTTGTAAATTGCCCTGGCTAAATTAATTCTGGCCTGTTGGCCTCCACTTAAATTGATGCCTCTATCTGCTACAATAGTTTCATCTCCTTTTTCAAATGTGTTAAAGTCGTAATGTAAGGCACATACTTTTATAACTTCATTGTATCTGTGTTCGTTAAAGGGTTGGCCAAAAATTATGTTTTGTCTTATTGAGGAGGGAAATAGCCAAGGGTCTTGTGAGCTGTAAGAAAAGGAGCCTCTAATATAGGAGCGGCCTTCGTTTAAATTGAAATCTTTTAAGAATAGTTTTAGTAAGGAGCTTTTGCCACTGCCTAAACCACCTGTGACAATTGTCAGGCCAGGTTTTAGCTTCAATGTAACTTGTTTTAGAATCTCGTGGGTTTTTATTTTTACAGTGGCTTGGTCTAGTACAACCTTTGGCTTATCGTAGTCGGTGTTTTCGCTGTCGTCCAGCTCAGGAGCGGTTAGGATTTTGTTGATTCTAAACATTGAAGCATAGAGTTCAGCACCTCTGCCTAAACCCAGCGGTATAAGCATGGTTATAGAGCCTCTTATATCACCGAAGCATTTCATTGAATAGAAAATTACTTCAGCGTCTGCGGTTTTGTTGACTGCAATGTAAGTCATTATAAGGGCGTAGAAGCCTATTTTTGAGGTGAGCATTCCTAGGATGAAGTTAGCTGAGCGTAGGTAGAAGGCGCGCATTAGATAAGTCATTTCCAGTCTAAAATAAGTAAGTGAATTGTTTGTTTGAGGCTAATTGGTGATTCACTTACCGTCTTTTTTCTTCAACTTTGGCAGCAAATACTTTTTCCCACGTGTACATTTTGATTATTTTTATTGCCGATAGGGTTTCTTGGGTCGCTTGCAAACGTTGGTCGGTTTTTTCCGAAAGACTCAATCGTAGGTTTTTGATTAGTTTTGCCACATAAACTGGAAAATAGTTTGGATTAGGATCAAGACGCAAGTCATTTTTTTCGTATTTATTTATTTACTTCCTAACCAACTATTCACAATCTATAGTCCAAAGGTACAGGTAAATTTATCACCTTTGCCTATAAAAAAGCATTGAAATGTGATAAATTTTACCTTTACCTTTGGACTACAGATTGTGAATAGATAATACAAAGTTTCTAATTGGATAACGGTCCAATTAAGAAGTGTTTTCTCTCTGCCGGACCACCAGTGGACGCGTTACGCTGTATTTCAACAGCTCATCAGCACGTTTGGGTCCGGCAGAGAGAAAACAAAACCCATTTTTGGTTCCATAGGCTTTGAGACAAGTAACATGAAGACAGAGTCTCCATCTATTTTCTGGTCGGCACACCAAATACTGCAACCAAGAACTGTTATAAAACAGTATCAAATTGGTACAGATAAACTCACAAAGGCATTCGCCACAATTGCAAGAATAGCTAATCTGGTACCAACCAGATATAAAGTAATTTCCTTATTTCTGGTTGGTACCAGAGGCGTTCAGGCATAAATCAACGGATGGTAGCTTCGCATTATAGCTCGCTCGAACTAGTGCGTGAACCAAATGTCCGAACCTGCGGTTCCTTTCGTACTGAGCAGGATTACTATCGCAACGACCAGTAGGGTAAAACTAACTTGTCTCACGACGGTCTAAACCCAGCTCACGTTCCCTTATTGACGGGTGAAAAGAGATATTTTGAGAATTGGTCATAACTTTTGAACGATTCAAGCTAGTGAGTTGCAGTTTATTTTAAATTAAAAATTAGCTCAAAATATATCAATAGACGTCAAGAAATTGTTCAGAATTTGCTTCTATCGTTTGAAGTACAAGGCTTGAATGTTTTCTAATGACAAACATAGGATTTTAGTCTGCACTCGTTTTAAAATGTTAGCCAATGGTCAATCTTGTTCCAGCATAGGCTATATTCAGATTCCCCTGACTTTAAAACATAAAACTAAGATGTTCGATGTTTTGGTATTGCCTGATTTATCTCATAAATTAATTTTGGTTGTCGACTTTTGCACCTCTATGGGTATTGCACCAGATTTGCATCAGAATGTTTGGCATTTTACTAAAGACTATCAGTTGCCACCTTCTATTTGTAGTATCCAAGATGAATCAACCCTTACGAGCAATCAGATGTCACAGCTCGATATTTTAGTAAAGTCCTAATTATTATTGATGGGAACTGATTTGGGTTGTAGCAAATCTGTAGAACATGTCATTGAGTTAGAACCTGGCACCAAACCCATCAAACAACGGTATTACCCAAGGTTGTTTAAAACGATGTTGCCTTTTAATTTGTATGACATCATCTGTATGCCTCAAGATAATGCAAATCTCCATAAGGCACCCTAGATACGTCATCAAGTTACCTATTACCAGACAACCTATGAACTTTAGGAACCTTGATATGTTAAACGATATGTCAAGTCTCAGTGTGGTTCCTTGGTCTACACCAATATGTTTAGCTCGTAAAAAAAGGACAATCCTTATAGAGTTTGCTTGAATTTCAGATTTCTCAACAAGTATACACTAAGAAGGACAGTTACCCGCTAATTCCTTATATCGATTCGATCCTTGACAATTTACGTAATGCCCGATATCTAAGTAGCATAGATATAAAATCTGCCTTTTGGCAAGTACCACTTAGTTCTGATTCTCGTGAACTTACTGCTTTTACTGTAGCTGGACGAGGATTGTTTCGGTTCTGTAGGATGCCTTTTGGATTAACCAATGCGCCAGCGAAAATCTCGTAAGAGAAATCGACGGATAAGAAGATCCTATTTGAGAATAGGAACATGGAATGTTTGAACACTTTACGATCCGGGAAGATTGAACAACTTACTGTTGGAAATGCAAAGAATGGACATACAAATACTAAAGGTGTGTAAAACAAAATGGCCGGATGCAACCAGTTTCGACTCAGGAGATTATACAATTTACACATCCGCAACGAAAGATGCATCTCATAGAAACGGAGTGGCTATAGTACTTAATAAATCCTTCAACAGATCAGTACGAAACTTTGTACCCTTGTCAGACCGAGTAATGCTACTACAGCTTGCGATGAGACCTGTAAATGTGAACATTATTCAGGTCTATGCCCCTACTACTGACCATGATCATGACGAAGTCGAAGAGTTCTACCAACAAATTGAAGACATAATGAAGGCAACAAAAAAACACGAAATCACCATAATTATAGTGATTGAGGTGATTCTTCTCCGTCTTCACCGAATCTGCAGATACCACCTTCTTCTAACCCCAACTTCTTCAGGTGTTTCTTGAGTCTGCAATGTCCCAAGAGAAACCCGGTTAAAGTCTTGAGACTTTTCTTGCCAAAGTTGACCAGCAGTTTTGATCTTTTTTGGTTGAAGTTGCCTAATAGATTTTTGGCATGTCGTAGCCGAAAAGTTCTTGGTCTACACCAATATGCCCTTGGTCTACACCAATATGTCCTTGGTCTACACCAATATGTCTAGCTCGTAAAAAAGACAATACTTATAGAGTTTGCTTGGACTTCAAAATTCTCAACAAGTTCACTAAAAAGGACAGTTACCCAATTCCTTATATCAATTCGATCCTTGATAATTTACGTAATGCCCAATATCTAAATAGCATAGATATAAAATCTGCCTCTTGGCAAGTATCACTTAGGTCTGAGTCTCGTGAACTTACTGCTCTTACTGTGCCTGGACGAGGATTATTCCAGTTCTGTAGGATGCCTTTTGGATTAACCAATGCTCCAGCAACTTGGCAGCGCATTGTAGATAATGCTTTGGAAGCGGATTTCCAAATTATAGTGATGGTTTATATGGACATCATTTTAATAAGTGAAACATCTGAAAAACATATTCGTCTCTTGGACTTGTGCTTGATAGGCTTCGAGAAGCAGGTCTCGTTCTCTCTCTTGAGAAATGTAAATTTTGTCGGTCGCATCTTAAATACGATCGTGATGGTTTAAGACCAGATTCTGATAAAGTCCCGGCGATAATTTCAAGCAACGACACCAGCAGCGAGATCAAAATTTGTGTGTGTGTAAATTGTCTAGGTCACGAGGCCAATGTGAAATGCCACTCTACGTACAGGTGTCATACGTGCAGTAAATACCACCACACTATGGTTCATGTTGATATAACTTTCAACAAGAGTACATTCAGGCAAGATGAAACAATCCAGGATTATAAGGATCAAATGTACGGCAACAGCATGTAACAAACAACTTAGACCGACAGCGATAGTTAGAATTCCAAATGTACATGGTGTGGACCTATATCTACGTGTCCTTATTGATCCTGGGTCCCAATCCACACTAATGACGAAAGAAGTTACCGAGAATTCAAACTGGCGTCAGTGGCTTAGGGGTTATGGAACCACAAAATGCAAAATGGATAGTAGAAGAAATAATTGAACCAGTAACAACTCGCTGCAAGTACTATGTATAATTCTGCTTGGGTTGACTCATGTCCTACCCCCCAAATAATTGGATACATGCAGACCAGAGTCACTGGCCCAATCGACATTATGCTTGGCGCCAAAGAATATAGTGAAATTATTCTGTTATGTTGAGTCAAAACACGGAACTAGGATGAATATTATCTGACACACAAAATTCACAAGAAAAAGCAAAAATACAGATATATGGGTTGACAATACTGATTGAGGAAGATCAACAACTCACGAAGTTTTGGGAGTTCACTAAGACAGACAATTATCAGAAGAAGAACAACTCTGTGGAGGAACCACCAATTGATTTACCACAAGAAGAGGTCAAATTGTGTCACACAGTTGCTGTAAGAGAAAGAAACTTAACTAATGATCTTATAGGTTCTCTCCCTTAACTGAACTTCTTCGAGTAACAGCGGTTTGTTTAAAGTTTGCAAAGCAAGAATTAAAGAATCAGGATTTCTGTCAACCAATAAACTACAGGCCGCACAAGAAAGGATTAGGAAAGTTGAACAAGAAGACTGATTTCACGAGGAAGTGAGAATTTTGCAAGGGAAAGAATCGCTTAGTAGAAATAGTAATCTATTAAACCTAAATCCATTTATTGACGATAACGGCATAATATTGCGTATTGGTGGAAGATTAGAGAACTCGCAATGGTCATACGAAACTAAGCATTCAATAATTCTGCCATATTATAGTCAGTTGTCAAAAGTCATTACAAATGTCGCACATCTGAAAACCCTTCACGGAGGAAATTAGGTAACATTATAGCTTATATGAGAAAAAAAAATTGAATTATCAATGGCAAAAGAGCAGTTGAAAATATAATAAGAAACTCTGTAAGATGGTCTCGTTTCAAGGCCCAGGCAGCAGAGTAGTTAATGGGAAACTTACCATCAGCCAGAGTATCAAAATCTCATCCATTTTTACATATACTGGTGTGGACTCTGCTGGTCCTCCACAAATCAAGACGACTAAAGGAAGACGTTACAAGTCGTACAAGGAATATACGTACATACACTTTCACCTGGTCAAAAATGCTAGGCTGAATAGAGGAACCATAGAGAAGTAGTTTGAGATAGGACAACGATGGTCGCAAGTGCGTCGTTTCCAAAATACAGAGTGTTGAAATTTAAACAACCCCTTTTCATATCATCTGAAGGGCAAATGCTACGTAGTTCCAGATAGAAAATGGGGATGTATTAAACGAAACGAATTCTTAAATATCATTCCTAAATCAATAATCCCTGAATAGCCTAGCGGCTAGCATAAGCCCATCAGACGATATGAAAGAGAGTTTTTTAAATTTCAACACCCTGTATGTTGGAAACGACGCACTTCCGACCATCTCTATATACCCTAGCATTTTTGACCAGTTGAACGGGGACACCCTGTATAGCAGTATTTGTCTGTTCCGCTACCATGGCTATCCATACCGAGGTAATGAGCGGTATGTCGTCTGATACATTTTTAGCAGCTTTCAGACGCTTCGTAGAATGTAGAGGGCGATGTGCACATATACACAGCGATAATTGCACGAATTTTGTAGGAGTTAGCAAAATTCTCGAACATGAAATACAACAAGTAATTGGCCTGGCATTCAGAATGTACTAGTGTCAATAGGAACCCAGTGACATTTCATTCCTCCTGGAGCCCTACATTTTGGAGGACTCTGGGAAGCGGGAGTAAAATCTATGAAATATCACCTAAAGCGGGTATTTGGCGAAACGCGTCCTACTTATGAAAAAATGTACACACTAATGCATCAGATTGAAGCATGCCGCAATTCACGCTAACTGTGTTCATTCCAGTAATGATCCAAATGACTTTACACTATTAGCTCCGGGGTATTTTCTGATAGGGCGTTAGTAAATCCGCCAGATCCTATAAACACATCCATCAATTCCAACCTCACTCCATTTCACCCACATTGTGGAACCGGCCTCCATTTCACTCACAGTGTGGAACCGGCCTTCCTCTCCTCCATGCCAGAAGGTTAAATAGTGGCCTTTATAAATGGAGGCCGGATTAACATATTTCGTCCTTCGGAAATTGAGGGAATAAATGCCGGTTCCACACTATTTCACTTTCTGGCATGGAGGAGATGAAGGCCGGTTCCAAACTGTGGGTGGAATGAAAGCCGGACGTTAAAACAGAAGTTAAAGACGATATTCGAGAAGTTTAAGACAACGTTCAGCAAGTAAAAGCTGCAATTAAAGCCGATGTTCAAGAAGTTAAAGATGATGTTCAGCAATTAAGACAAGAAGTTGAGGACTAAGTTCAAGCGAAGATGAAGTGAATAAATTAGAAATACAGTCCAGCAATCCAGTTATAGTATTGGGGCATTCTCTATAGTATGAAGATAAACCCACCAACTTTTCACAGCTCTACGTCCTCGTCCTGGACCATGTATATCCAACAATTTGAAGCTGCTGCAAATACCAATGGATGGAAGAATTTAAAAAAAAACCAATAGCACAGTTCAGTCTATTCCTTCAATCTACCAACAGAATTACCAGCATTTAAGTCAGACGCTAAAATCGCGCTTCAGAGATCATTACCAGACAAGAAGTATTCAGAACTCAAGTTAAATCAAGAGTTCAAAAACCTGGCGAGAGTCTACAAGAATTCGAATCAGGAGTTAAAATGCTAGTATAGTGAATTTGGCTATTCCTGCAGTTGAGGAAGACATGCAAGAATGGGTGGCAGTATATGCGTTCATTGATGGTCTCAGAGATTCGAATATCCAGGAAACCATTGAAGACCCAGAAAATAAACAATCGTGAAAAGAAGATGAAAGTCTCAAGAATGTTATAAGTAAGTTCGGGTTCCAAATGGTTTTTCACCTTGAATTTCTAAAGTGGATACTGGCAAGTGGCAATACACAAAGATGACAAAGGGAAAACTGCTGGAAGCAGGTTACACCAGTTTAACGTAATGCCTTTCGGATTGTGTAATGCTCCAGATACGTTTGAGCGACTAATGCATCTTGTTTTGCGAGGCCTTACATGGAGAACTTGCTTAGATGATTTCATGATCATGAGAATTTCATTTCAAGAACATCTTAATAACCTGAGAAAAGTTTTTGACCGCTTCCGGAATGCCAACTTAAAACTCAATCCAAGTAAGTGTTTTTAAAAGAAAGTGGAATTCTTAGGTCACGTGGTATCTGAAGATGGCATACAAGTTATGGAAGGAAAAATAGATGCTGTCAGGGACTGGCCAAAACCACGCGACAAAAAAAAAATTGAGGTGTTGGTTGTGGGCTGCGAGAAATTTGTAGATCCCCATATTGAAATAAGATATTGCAGTTTTGGAATGAACCAGAGCAAAATAAATCGTAAAGTTTTTAGCTTTATATAATATCTACCCTAATGACAGGTGGAATATGTTATCCTTAATAATCAATTTGTTGTTTCCAATTCAAGTTTCTTTTATAACTGAAATTCTAGCTTGCCTTATGTTGTGTATGAATATTTTCCAAATATAGTAGTATGGGTTCAGTTATCTATTTCTGGATATTTTGTTAAAAATATTGAATGGAAAATTCACGAAATACTTACTTTGAGCTGGCACAATAACCAACAAAATAACAACCCCAACAAAGCCAGTCCAGCCCATTTTGTTGTAGATCAAATAGCAAACAACACACAACCTAATTGTTTCCATCCACATGTCATTAAACAACATCATGTTTTGCTGAAACACCATAACATCTTTGGTGATTACAGTTATCACGTTGCCTAAACTGATTTCATTCATTGCAGTTGGGGTCAGCTTTAAAGCTTTCCTGTAGACCAACGAACAAAATGATGTGCGTATTTTGATTGCCAATTGTTGCACGTAGATGATGTAGTTTTGCATGTAGAAGGCATGAGCCAATCGGAGACCTACTTTGATTCCAGCGTAGAAAACTGCGTCTTGGAAGGTGACCGATGTTTGAAATGGGTTGAAGTAGGAGACCAGTTTTGAGATTGCTTCTGGTTCGTATATACTTGAAAAAAAAAGTATGTAAATCAAAGCTTTTTTTTTTGTCCAAATTACCTTGTTATCAATTTCCATGATAAGTTTATTACTCCTAGGAAGAGGTATTGATAGCCGAAACATTTCCATAAAATTGGTAGTAAAGATGTTTTTCCGTTCGCACGGTGAGTTTTCCAAGCTTTTTCAAATATGTCGCCATTTTTTTTGGCGTTGCATGGTTTTACTACGTCATAGATGTCGTCTTCTTCTAAGTCTTTTTTTAAAGAGCGCTGGAACAGGCCTTTGGTGTATCTGAAATGAAACATACGCATGTGCTCAATAGGGCCTTAATCCTATTATTTCTCGTTCTATTGGTCAGATTTGATTCAAGTTTTTTCTTATAGTTAGCAAAAAAAATATAGATTTACTTACGAAAAAGTCAAAAGCGATAAAACGTTGGCCCTTTCCCTAGGATTTTGTCTCCTGTTAACTTTACCAACATGATCCATTTTAACGTTCACATCAAAGTAATCACTATTGAGTGCAAAGACTTACAAGACAATGATAACTAAAATCAACATTTTCATTCTTTTGATAAATCCATAAGTAATCGTTGAGCAAATACTTGTATTTTATTCAAATAACTTTTAACAATAGGGAAAAAGACGTAACTGTTACAACAATGAAAGGCGCCATAATCTGGTAAACATTTAACGTCGGTATAGTTGGGTCTTTTTTTGATTTTATAACAACAATTAATGTCAAATTTCTACAATGATTTTCATCAACTTTCCTCATTTCCTGATCCGATTTGTGCCTTGAAAAAAAGACCTGAGAATTTTTGACCGTCTATTAGAACTTTTAGGAGGAACACCTATTTTCCATTGCTAACATTATAATTCATATGATTCGGTATACCGGCAGATTCCCGTTTGTTTTTGATAAATGACCATTGGATCATTCTTAATGTCAAACTCAATTTTCAGAATATAATTATTGTTATAAGAAATTCTGATATTAGTCTTAATTTTAGACGTCAGAGTTTTAAAATTCTGTAATTCCAATTGACTTTTTTTTCTTAGGTAACCTTTTGTAGCGAGGAACACACCTATTGATGATATCATAAAGTTTGTTATAACACAATGTACAGGCAGTCTCAACATCCAATGACCAGTCTAAGTTTAAAAATATAACATGCAAAGGAAAGTTAGCTTTTCTAAAATTAAAAATATTTTCAAAGTTGACGGGAAAGTCGTGTTTCTTCCCTGTAGAATGGGGGAACTGAAACGAGATAGAAATTGCGGGATGGTGTTACTGCATCTAGAGCACATTCAACTATACAATGTATTGTTATGTAGAACCAAATCTAAAATTCGGTTATTTAAATTTCTAATAAAATTACTTTGTGAAACATTCATGCAATGCATAAAATTGTTAAGTAACGTAACACACTGATTTTCTGTACCAGTGTCCAAGAACTCAGAATAAGTGGGTGTATTAAAATCCTCCAAAATACATAATACAAACACTCCAGTGACACTATAAAATCGAAAAGATTTTCAAGTATGTCTGCATTAACAGGCGGGGGCACATAAATCACCACAAATAAAATTGTAAATTTGTTCTTATGCCATTTGGTTTCAAAAACGCCCCATCAACATCTTAGAAATTCATGGATAACATTCTTCTTGGTATCCGGAATGAACGTTGTTTGGTCTACAAGGACGACATTGTCGTATATTCAACAACCAGCCATGGTTGGTTGGTTGGTTTAAGGCGGGGTTAGGCGTGCTCGTGTCCCGATTGGCACTGCAGTTCAGTCGAAATAGAACCTGCCGAAAATTCCCAAAACCGCTTCTACAGTAGAAAAGGGTTATTACGAATTTGTCCGCATGCCATTTGGTTTCAAAAACGCCCCATCAACATTTCAGTGAATCATGGATAATATTCTTCTTGGTTACCTTTATTGCTAATATGTCGATCTGAGGGAGCAATTATTCGTTTCTATCAATTTTTATTATGGACGATTTATCACGCTGATGGACAGCCAGCAAAACCCCACCACAACAGATGTGAGTTATTCTCATTAGTTTAAAAAGTACACGTTTCAGGTAAGTGTCTTATTATTTAAACAGTTCAACAGTATATTGGTAAGTAGATGGTCCACCCATAAGAAATAATCCACTAATTTATACTTGAACAATAACTTATCATATAAAGTCAGAATTTGTAAGATTATCCACTTTTTGTCAATTTGCCTTTTAACAGGAATTAGTAATGTTACTTTACTAAACTAGTAACATAATGTGACAAGTTATTCAAGTACAAATGAGTGAATTGTTGCGAAACTTATGGGTGGACCTCTGCGGGACGAGCGCAGCGAGTTCCGCAGCCATCTATTTATCAATATGTTGTTTAATTACAATACTGACTTACTCAAATGTGAGTTATTCTCATTAGTTCAAAAATTACACGTTTCAGGTGATTGTCTTATTTGAACGGTTCAACAGTATATTGGTGAGTAGATGGCTGCGGAACTCGCTGCGCTCGTCCCGCAGAGGTCCACCCATAAGTCCCGCAACAATCCACTTATTTGTACTTGAACAATAACTTATTATATAAAGTCAGAATTTGTAATTTGTAATCCACTTTTTGTCAAGTTGCCTTTTGACAGGAATTTGTAATGTTACTTTATCAAACTAGTAATATATTGTGACAAGTTATTCAAGTACAAATGAGTAAATTGTTGCGGAACTTATGGGTGAACCTCTGCGGGACGAGCGCAGCGAGTTCCGCAGCCATCTATTCATCAATGTGTTGTTTAATTACGATACTAACCTGACTCACTCAAATGTGAATTTTTCTCATTAGTTTAAAAACTACACGTTTCAGGTGATTGTCTTATTTGAACGGTTCAACAGTATATTGGTGAGTAGATGGCTGCGGAACTCGCTGCGCTCGTCCCGCAGAGGTCCACCCATAGGTTCCGCAACAATCCACTTATTTGTACTTGAACAATAACTTATTATATAAAGTCAGAATTTGTAATCCACTTTTTGTCAATTTGCCTTTTGACAGGAATTTGTATTGTTACTTTATCAAACTAGTAATATATTGTGACAAGTTATTCAAGTACAAATGAGTAAATTGTTGCGGAACTTATGGGTGAACCTCTGCGGGACGAGCGCAGCGAGTTCCGCAGCCATCTATTCATCAATGTGTTGTTTAATTACGATACTAACCTGACTCACTCAAATGTGAATTTTTCTCATTAGTTCAAAAACTACACGTTTCAGGTGAATGTCTTACTTGAACAGTTTAACAGTATATTGGTGAGTAGATGGCTGCGGAACTCGTTGCGCTCGTCCCGCAGAGGTCCACCCATAAGTTCCGCAACAATCCACTTATTTGTACTTGAACAATAACTTAATTATATAAAGTCAGAATTTGTCGCTGCGCTCGTCCCGCAGCCATCTATTCATCAATATGTTGTTTAATTACAATACTGACTTACTCAAATGTGAGTTATTCTCATTAGTTCAAAAACTACACGTTTCAGGTGAGTGTCTTATTTGAACGGTTCAACAGTATATTGGTAAGTATATGGCTGCGGAACTCGCTGCGCTCGTCCCGCAGAGGTCCACCCATAAGTTCCGCAACAATCCACTTATTTGTACTTGAACAATAACTTATTATATAATGTCAGAATTTGTAATTTGTAATCCACTTTTTGTCAATTTGCCTTTTGACAGGAATTTATAATGTTACTTTATCAAACTAGTAATATATTGTGACAAGTTATTCAAGTACAAATGAGTAAATTGTTGCGGAACTTATGGGTGAACCTCTGCGGGACGAGCGCAGCGAGTTCCGCAGCCATCTATTCATCATTGTGTTGTTTAATTACGATACTAACCTGACTCACTCAAATGTGAATTTTTCTCATTAGTTCAAAAACTACACGTTTTAGGTGAATGTCTTACTTGAACAGTTTAACAGTATATTGGTGAGTAGATGGCTGCGGAACTCGCTGCGCTCGTCCCGCAGAGGTCCACCCATAAATTCCGCAATAATCCACTTATTTATATAAGGTGTTTTTTTATATATTGACACCTCACCTACAGCCTTTACCTTTATAGGTAGAAGAAAGGTGTAAATACAAAAGTTGTACAGTTTTGGCTGAATTTTTAGAAACCATGGTCAGAAACAAAATTTGAATGTCAGAAATGTGACATTTTAAATGCTTCCAGCTTTTTTCAAATGGGATGCCCTATATTTCATTCTATATTCTTGAAGAGCACAATGCCCCGATCTATATTTGATTGAGCAATCTTTCATATATTCGACTCCAAAAATTTTAAAAATACTATCCTACTACTGATTTTCTGAACCGTTCTACCGGTATAGGTGAAAGCTGCAGTAAAATTTGAGGTTCTTGGTTTATATGATAGTATTTTTGAAATTTTTAAAACCAAATTTGTTGGAGACGGCTCAACCAAATATAGACAAACTATATAGTTTTGTAATCGGGAAATTATGCTCTTCAAGAATATAGAACCAAATATAGCGCATTCCATTTGAAAAAAGCTAAAAGCATGCAATGTTTCACATTTCTAACATTCAAGTCAATACTGTACAACTTTTGTATTTACACCTTTCATCTACCTGTAAAGGTAAAGGCTGTAGGTAGAGTGTCAATATATAAAAAACACCCTGTACCTCAAAGTACTGGTGGGTCTGTAAACTGCACACTGTAGACTTTGTTATCACATGCACAGAATCGGAACAGCACAAAGTACCGAGTGTCGCCTATGCATGGAAGAGAACATGTCCTATGCACGTTCTCAGCAATAGTTAGAATCAGACATGCTGTTTTCGGGGAATCAGCTGTTGGACCTGAATATATAAAGCATGCTTATCTCCACCTTCATATGAAGGGCTGGAACTATGAATTTGGAGTGAGCCACCATAGACCGCAGGTCACAGTGGAAGGGTCGACATCGGATCACTGGATCACTCACAAGAAACCTAAACCTAATCAGTAGGAGGTATAAAGGTTTTGCTCAGCGTCAACAATAGTTTACCTGCACATAACAAATTGTCCTGAAATAATCAAACAAAAAAAAAAAAAAAAAAAGACATACAAAAATCGTTAGTGATGTTTTTATTGTATACAGACCTTACGAATACTAATTTATTTCAGTAAAATTATCACAAAGATCGACTATATATAAAATCAGCCGGATCAATCTCTACTTTTCAAAAAAAATAAAATTCAATTACAACCACCAAATAAGTAATAATTTAAAACAAAAATAATACACAAATTAATATAGAATAAAACTACATGGCAGTTTTATTTTGCGCCCAGAAAAATGTTCAAGAAATCTTGGCAAAAATATCACAAAATGTTAACTACTAAGGGCCAGTTTCACAAACAGCGGTAACCACAAGACACTAGTTTCATAATGTGTGCTTTAGCAAAAACCATTGGTGAATCCTCAGATAATTGAATGTTGTCAGCCCGCAACTATGAGTTTGATAACCACCAATTGTGAAACTGGGCCTAAAACAAACAAAAAAACCTTAAATGACTAAATACTAAAATATCCAGGGTCCTGCCAATAATATCCAAAAGCTGGACAAATCTTAGGTTCAGTTTATCATTACTTAGTTTTAGGACCAAATGTAAAATACAAATTCTAACAACAAATATAATCAGTTTTTTTAGTAAAAAGTGCTTTTTTCTTTGAGGAGGATTTTGGGGTTAGTAATAAATACGTTAAAAATAATCCAGTAAAGCTGCCTGGGTTTTAATTTGGGGGGGCTACAGGTTGTACATCGCCCTCTCTTGTTTCTCTGAAATACTAAAATCATAGGGTACTTAGTACAAAATTAAATTAAGCTGTCAAATTTTTTGTCTTTGTCTCCACCACCAAATGCAGCAAGTGTCTAAAAAAAAAAACAAACAAATATTTACTTGGACTCGCTGTGATTCCTCTTTTTACACTCCTGCTTGCACACAATAATAATTTCATCTCCGGATCGAATATTGTAGCTAAAAAGCTGTTTCAATGGAAAACGCATACTTTCTGGACCTTGTATATCTCTCAAATCCTGGTCGACGTAAAACAGGCGCATTTTCGAAGCGGGAAATCCAGCGAAACCTTCCAATCGGGTCTTAAGATCGCTCACAGTACGGTAAATATCAACCGAGCGGACTTCGCTGTTTGAGCCGCAAGTGAAAGTGATTTTTACACGTTTTTCCGGTCTGAGGTCTACATTGACCAGCGGGTCTAGTTTGCCATGTTTCTGGACCAGCTCAAAGTATCTAAAAATTATCATAAAGATGTGCTTGAACACAAAAAAAAAAGTACCTTTCAGGACGGTCACTTTCAGGTTTATCCATGTAGTATCTGATAAAGGCCCTTTCAGCATCTTCCCTTTCATCGGCTGAAATAATTCCTCCACCGTTAAGGGTTTGGACGTTGGGCAATCGGGCGATTAACAATTGTCTGCGCTCGTGTTCCGTGTACTCGTTGCCTTCCCAAAGAGGACAACCCTGTATAAACAATGAAAATGTCCTTTAAAGTCTTCGAACAAACTTAGAAATAAATCAGAAACAGAGACACCTCTCCCATTATTAATTTTACTCAGATATTCTGAATTCGTGTTACAAATCTGTAAATTTGAAAAGTTCTCACCTGTAATCGAAGACACCGCAACGAAGGAAACTTGGCCAAACGTTCAACATCGTCCCATGAAGACAAATCGGTCGAATTCAAATTTAAGACTTTCAAAGAATTGAAAAAATCGTGAGGCGATTCAGGCCTCACCGGATCACTTTCATAGTTCCTATTGTGAGGATCCTCATTATTAATATCCAAAGATTTGATGGGGCACTCTGCCAGCACCAAAGTGTCCAGATTCGGAAAGGCGCAGCCCAATTTGGTAATCTCTCGCCAATTTTGCACGGGATTTCCGGTAAAGTGCAAAATCCTAATAACAGAATGTTTTTTTTGCAGTTGTTCACAATTATTATCATTGTCGGTTTTATTCTGGCAATCACAGTCTGTTGAAGTTTCATGCAAAGCCACATTATTATAGTCGTTTAGACTGAGATGCAATTCTTCCAAGCTGGGCAAGTGTTTGAGGATTTTCTGGACGCTGTCCCAATTGACATGAGTCGAATTCAATACAAGATTCCGCAATTCGGTCCAGCGTTTGTCCAGGCTAACATCTATCGGCTTCGATAGGCTGTTGAAGCTTAAATTGACAAATTTTAAACGGGGCATGTGTTCCAGAATCCCAAAAACCTAAAAACAAAGATGAGTAAAAAAAAACCACAAAAGTATCGACTACTTGCCTCAGTCCATTGATCCAATTTATTCTTAGCCAAATCCAGTTCTTCAACATTTGAACACTTAGCTACCAAAGCTTCCCTTTCACCAGCTGTAGCTATATCACAATCGTTTAGTACTAGGAGGGCTGGTACGGCAGCTCTAGGTGATCTGGAATCAAAAATGTTTGCTCCAATTGGAATTTTATAGATAGTAACTTACTTGCAAGGCACAAATATGGCCACGGATATACCGACCGAATCGTCGTCGGGACTGGAATCCGAATCGGCCGATCGGGGATCTCCGTATTTTTGTTCCAGAGCTTCCAGAAGGGATGGCATCTTTGATTTTAGGGTTTTAGCTACAAAGACAATAAGATTTTAATGAGATTTTCTCTGTGATTTTTCTTCATTATTATTAGTCATCAGCAAAACTAAATCCTAATAGAATAATAATATCAAGTTTCTTCAGATTGTGCTTTATTATTGCACCTTTAATATCATACTTTCGTTTTCCGTGTCGATTGTGACGCAACGCCTGGGTTAATTTAACGCATCGATGGGCTTTTGCTTTATTTTATTTAATTTCCAAATGGGTCTTATATAGCTTCAATTGCACCTACATTTGCAATGGTAATAGTTTATTATTAAAGGGAAAATGTGCACGAGGAAACGGAATTATTGGTCGACTTCCTTTTTCGTCAGTTTGTAGGTCAATGATTTTTTATTGTAGAAGAAGAAGTTTGAGGTAAACAAACTATTTTTCTGATGTCCTACTCTGAATTATGTTAATATTTACTCTGAACAGCTCATAAAGTTTTGGGTCAATTATAATTCCTATTTCTTAAGATCAGAAAATCCTTACTTTATTTTGATCGATTTTGTTTTTATTTCTCATGCCTTGACCCATTTAGAACACATCATTTATCGATTTTCTAAATTAATATATGTTCACTGACTACAAATTAAGATTTCAATCAGGAAGCTTGGGTTCTAGAATCTGGAGCCAATTTAACTATTTGAAGTCATCACAATTTACTCTAAAAACTTGCTTCAGATGCTTTAAAAGCTTAAAATGACGAGAAACGACTGAAATCTTAACATTTGCTATTACAAAAAAATTCAAGCCTCGTATCTCAGACCTCAGCAACAAATTCTGATTAATATTTTGATGCAAATCAATAGATTTTGAGCTGATTTTTAATTTAAAACATACTGCAATTCACTAATTTCAATCGTTTAGAAGTTATGACCATTTTAAGAAGAGTGAACTCTATAATCTTACATTTGTCATTAGAAAACTTTCAAGCCTCGTATCTCACATTATGACAACAAATTCTAATCAATATTTTGATGCAAATCGATAGATTTTGAGCTGATTTTCAATTTAAAACAAACCGCAACTCGCTAATTTAAATTGTTCAAAAGTTATGGCCATTTTAAGAAGAGTGAAGACTATAATTTTACATTTGTCATTAGAAAACTTTCAAGTCTCGTATCTCAGACCATGGCAATAAATTCTAATCAGTATTTTGAGGCAAATCAATAGATTTTGAGCTGATTTTCAATTTAAAACAAACCGCAACTCGCTAGTTTGAATCGTTTAGAACTTATGACCATTTTAAGAAGAGTGAAGACTATAATCTTACATTTGTCATTAGAGAACTTTCAAGCCTCGTATCTCAAACCATGGCAATAAATTCCAATTGATATTTTGATGCAAATCAATTGATTTTCAGCTGATTTTTAATTTTAAATAAACTGTAACTCGCCTATTTGAATCGTTTAGAAGTTATGGCCATTTTAAGAAAAGTGACGGCTGAAATCTCACATTTGCCATTAGAAAACGTTCAAGCCTCGTATCTCAGACCATGGCAATAAATTCTAATCAATATTAATAGATTTTCAGCTGATTTGTAATTTAAAACAGACCACAACTCGCTAATTTGAATCTTTTAGAAGCTATGACCATTTTAAGAAGAGTGATGACTGAAATCTTACATGTGTATTCAAAGCGTGCATTAGATCCTTGTTGAATTTACTAACATTTTCCTACCCTGACGAGAGAATATCCTAACAAATTGAAATAATCAATCTAGAGATATTGGCTCAAAAACAACTATAGCTGAGTAGCTTCCCGTATGGGACCTCAGTATCCGCTGGGAAACTAGTTACCTAACCAAAAACTCTTCAGTATTGAATATAGGTAATGTTGATTAATGTAGTATGTGTAATTGAAATTTTAGCACAAGAACAAAGGATGGTACCTAATTTAAACTTTTATTGACTTAAATTATTGAATTAATGACTCACAATTATTATTAAAATGACACAGTATGTTTCGATTTTTGAGGAATGTTAGATCGAGTGTTTCTCTGCCGTTCTTTTGCCCCTCGAGAATTCTAGGTCGAGAACGGTACGATTTACTTTAATAATAAAGTAGATGTTTCACAAATTTTTCGTTTCTCTTACATATCACAACTTCCCTTAAATTTCCCAAATATTTGTTATGTCGGGCGCATATCCAGTAAGTAAAATTGTGTAAGTTTCCACAACGTAGGTCCTATTTGTTTTTCATTTCATTTTTCAGAAGATTTGTTGTTTAAAAGGTAATAAAAATTGTCATCGTTTAATCTTACAGACCGAACCTGGGTAATTTATACTACAGGCTGAAAGAAAACTTTTCCAACAATCCAGGAAAAACAGAAAAGTCATTAGATGATTACAATAGGAATAATAAAAATTAAAAAAGAGACAGCAGAACAGATAATAGGCCCTCTAGAGAAAACGCCAGACAAACTGTCGATAGAAGCGAAACAGCTACTAAAGAAAACAAGAAAACTGATAACCGAGGGTAAAAGAGACACTATTGAATACACAGAAACCAACAAAACAGCAAGAAAAATGGCGAAAACGGATATACTAAAACATAAAACGAAACAAGTACTAAATATATTTAAAAGACATAACACACAAAAATAAAAGATGCGAAAAACAACATAGTAGAAGACAGACAACAGATACTAAAAGTGGCGGAATCTTTCTATAAAAATCTGTACGAATCTAAAATAGCAAACACAAGGACAAGAGAAGATAAAATACGAATAGTAAATGCAAACTCAGAAGAAATGCCCGACATGCTCGCATTTCACATTTTTGGGATACCCTTATTAATTGTGTGTGCTCCAATTTCAATAGAGATGGTGTTCAGTGTCATGTTACTCCATCTGATTTATCAAACCATGAGGCAGTTGTGTGCAAATTTAATTTTAAAAATGAAGTAAAAAATTCAAATTTTCGCAAGTTTGTAAACCTCTGTAGAGTTACAAATTTTCTGTTTACAACAGAGGAAAGATCGACCACATTTCATGAAACGTTAACTAATTTGTTTAATAACGCCTTTCCTGATCAAAAAATAAGGGTTAAGAAAAGAAAGCCGTGGCTTACTCATGGTTTGCGTGTTTCTGCTAATAATCTCCGTTCCTTGCATTCTATCAGAAAATATACCACTAATAATGACTTTCTAACCTATTTTCCGAAATATAGATCTTTGTACAAGAAGATTGTTAGACAGACCAAAAGTATGTATTTTAATGACAGACTTAACAATGCTCAAAGTAGAATAAGGGAAACGTGGAAATTGACTCGTGATTTGGTTTGCCCAGTGGATCCTCTTTGCTATCTAAAGGATGTGCATGTAAGTGGAGACTGTCTTTTGATTCCTACTGATCCTGACGAAATTAGGGAGGTCATTTGTGAGATCCTGGAACAAGTATGCTGCAGGTCAGGATAGGCTCCCTGCTAAGATATTCGCAAACCTGCCCGAAAATGTATTGTCGTGTCTTTCTGTGTATACAAACGAAAGTTTTGAGGAGGGTGTCTTTCCAGCATGTTTGAAGTTTTCACAGATAGTTCCTATTCACAAGGGCGGAGGGCGTAATGACCCTTCAAACTATCGTTCGATTTCCTTGTTGTCTACCCTTTCTAAAATAATTGAGAAAATTGTCAAGCGACGTATGATGGCGCATTTAGGTAGACATAACCTATTGGATCCTGCTCAATATGGATTTCAGGCATCAAAGGGCACTAATGATGCCATGTATGCTCTCTTGGAAAATGTATATAGTGCAATAAATAAAATTGTTTTCTATTACTGGCTCTGGTGAAAGATTTTCTACATTAATTTTCTTATCCTTGGCTCTTAATGTAGAAAATCTTTCACGAGAGCCGGTAATAGAAAACAATTCTACCCACTGTAATTTGACTCAACAAAAATAAGCCACTGTATAAAGATAACAAGGGGTGAACCACCATCCCAGAATTGGTGTAAACAATTCCTCAAAGGGGAAATTTTTTACGCATAATTCCCCAAAATTCCTACAAATTCCTCCAGATATCCCATCACAAATTCCTCCAAATACCACACCATGAACTTCTACAAATACCACACCACGAACTTCTCCAAATACCCCACAAATACTTGGAAATCAACCTACAAAAACTGAATAAGTTGAAAATACACTCTCACACATTTCAAAGTTTTCTTGGAAAACTAGTAAAGGGAAAATTTTGAAACTTTTTGCATGTAAAGAAGAAAATAAGAAGCTCATTTTCTTAAAATTTCAAATTTTTCCAGTAGAAAACAGCAACAACAAAAATCTTGGAAATCAACCTACAAAAACAGAATATGTTGAAAATACAGTCTCACACATTTCAAAGTTTTCCTGGAAGGAAAACTATTGAAGGGAAAATTTTGAAACTTTTTGCATGTAAAGAGAAAGATAAGAAGCTCATTTTCCCAAAATTTCAAATTTTTCCAGTAGAAAACAGCAACAAGAAAAAATCTTGGAAATCAACCTACAAAAACAGAATATGTTGAAAATACAGTCTCACACATTTCAAAGTTTTCCTGGAAAACTAGTGAAGGGAAAATTTTGAAACTTTTTGCATGTAGAGAGGAAGGTGAGAAGCTCATTTTCCCAAAATTTCAAATTTTTTCAGTGGAAAATAACATGAAAAATCTTGAAAATCAGCCTACAAAAACTGTATACTGTATTCATTATTCTTTCGAATTTTTAAATTTGACAATTTCCTTTAAATTCCTTATAAATTCCTTACAAATTCTCCCAAATTCCCCATAAATTGTTCCAAATTTCCAATAAAAATTCCCCAAATTCTTATAAATTCGGATGAGTTCCTTCAAATTCCTCACAAATTCCTCTAAACTTCCCACAAATTTCTCTAAATTTCCCACAAATTCCTCTAAATTCTCCACATTTTTAGCAGAGAATTCCTAGGTGGTTTGCCCTTTGAAAGATACAGAGTGATGAATATTATTTATTATTCCCGGCTCTTGTAGGAAATCTTTCACAGAAGTTGGTAGTCGAAAACAATTCCATCACTGTAAAGATACAGGGTCACCAATATTTTCTTATCCCTGGCTGTTAATGTAGAAAATCTTTCACGAGAGCCGGTAATAGAAAACAATTTTACCCACTGTATGAAGATACAGTGCAAAATCGGCTTCAAATATTTTGAAGATGGATTTGAGCACTTCAAAAGCATAAAAAGGTACTTCAAAAGCTATTTTGAACCTTTCCGAAGCCTTATGGTTATGTTTGAAGGAGTGGAATTTGAAAAACTACCTTTAGATTACTTCAGAAAACAATTGGGAACACCTAAAATCTCACTTTGAACAGCTCGGAGTCAGTTAAAGAAGCATTTATAAATCCTGAAAGTGCAAAATCGGCTTCAAATATTTTTTGAAGATCGATTTGAGCACTTCGTGGGAGCATATAAATTGACTTAAATATTTCAAAAACCCTAGAGGTACTTTTGAAGAAGTAGACTTTGATAAAATACCTTCAGATTGCTCCAGACACTTCAGAAAACTGTTTGGAATACGTAAAATCTCACTCTGGACAGTTTGAAGACAATTTTGCTTCAGACATTATAGAAGCTACTTCAAAACATTTTCAGAAAGGTTCAGAAATACTTTTGGACAATTGGGATGTTATATAAATATATATGTAATAATATTAGCTGGAAATTTCGGGTATGCGGTATGTATATATTAATACTCATTGCAACCATCATTATTTTCAAAAAATCGTAACTTCATTAATAATAACTCAGTGGCTTTAAGTTTTTGGTATTTTTTACATTGAATCATTAGGAAAAAGTCCTCAAAATTTCAACGTTCCACTCAGTTAAGTTTTTGAGTGGAAGTACCCCCCCACCCCTTAGATAATCATGTATGGACCACCACTGATATATACAGACCGCATACCCGAAATTTCCAGCTTATAAATTTGTACGGTCGAAATTTAATTTTTCCAATATATAATAATATAGACTCGAAAAAGAAAATTATTCAATTTGTATTGTGTGAGAGCGGATATCATCCTAATTTCCTATACAATAAATTGCAAATTAACAAGGCGATATATGTATATTGTACGAAATCCGCTCACCTACTTTGTTATTCAGGAAACAGTTTTAATTAATTTATATTTTTCGTGTTGTGGGAGAATGCACTAACATTTTGCAATAACCATTATTAATCTGATCATTGTTTGATAGGCAATCAAGGTTGGATTTGTTAAAAAAAAAATAATTGCGTTTTAAAATACACCAATCAGACCAGAAATTATCGTATTTTTTTCGTTGCAAAATCAAATTGCATCATCCAAAATTCTATCTCTATACACACAACAGCGTTTTTAGTGTGAAGGTTGTCGGAGGCTGAAAATAAATAAGGCCTTGTAACCTGGGCATTTGGAAAAATATTATGTTCGACACGTGTATATGAGAAACGAAATTCCAATCAATATTTACTATTATTTGGCAAGGTCAATAATAAGTGTCTGGGCCCATAACCTGTACTAGGACAATTTTTTACTAGTAAATTAAAGGGGAACAAAAGAACTACGATGTTTTGTCACATTTTTCTTTGTCCTCTGCTACATTTTCAATAATCTGGCAACGCAGCAAAAACCACATTACATTACAAATCCCATATATCTAATACGCGCTGACCTTTTGTTTACATAACAAACCAACTTACCTGCACAACAAAGGAATATACGTCAATATAGAGCATTCAAATTAGGTATATGAAAATCCCTGCTAGATCTTTTGGGACAAAAATGGTGTGCGGAAAAATGTATTTTTCCATACAGAATTTTTCGAAAAACAGAGCGACTCGCTGTTGGCATACAACACAAACCGCGCTCGCGCTCGTTCTTTACAACACTGTGTGGAGAAACAAGCAGGTTTCCCCCCTAAAATATTTCGTACACTACTGGGGGAAAATCGTGTTTTTGTTTCTAACGATCAGCTGACCGCGACTCCGCGTTTCGTCGTTCTACGACTGATTAATTAATCAGCTGATTTATCTCGTTTGTACATTGGTATAATAAAGCGCGGTGACACAATTTTCGGTTTTTGAAAGTGCGGCGACAAAAGTAAGTTATTTTGTTATTATATTAGAAATGTATCAGTGTGACGTGAAAATGTTGCAATTTTGCAATGTCCCAATGTGTAAAGAATATTTTGAAGATGTTGCACAGGTTTTGGAAATGTTCTGTAACAAACCAACAAATGTCCATTAAGGATTCTTAGAATGTCCATCGGACGTTTGTCTATAGTGCAAATGTCCATTTGAACATCGGACCTTTAAATAACCTTCAAAGAAAAAAAAAAGTCAAATTACATACCTATATTGATGTCTTATGAGCTTTTGACAGCTAATACATATCATTGATTCAATAGTTTCCAATGTAAAAACATGATAATGCAAGTGGTTTCCCTAGAAAATAAAATATAAGTTCTTGAAATGGGTCAATTTTGACAGCTGTCAAAGTTAAATTCAATGGTTTTATGTATAAAGAGTTTTTAAAAAAAATTGACAAGTATCACATGCTATTATATTGATAGTTTTGTATGCTTAATTGTACATTAAAAAGGATTTCAATATATAGGGCGTAGCTTTCAAATTAGACGAATTTTGACAACTGTCAAAGTTAAATTCTATGGTCTCATGTCCAGAGAGTCCTCAAAAAAATTTACAAGCATCACATGTTACTAGTATTTTCACAATTATGCTTATAAAAACCAAGTGAACTTGATAATTTGAAATAAATCGTAATTTTCAAATTATGTCAATTTTGACAGATGTCAAAGCTGAATTCCATAGTTTCATATCCAGAAAACCCTCAAAAAAATTTACAAGTAGCGCATGCTACTATTTTGACAATTATGTTTATGAAAGCCAAGTGAACTTGATAATTTGAAATAAATTGTAGCTTTTAAATTATGTCAATTTTGACAGATGTTAAAGCTGAATTCTATTGTCCCATGTCCAGAGTGCCCCCCCAAAAAAATAACAAGCATCACATGCTACTAGTATTTTGACAGGTATGCTTATAAAAGCCAAGTGAACTTGATAATTTGAAATAAATCGTAGCTTTTAAAATATGTCAATTTTGACAGATGTCAAAGCTGAATTCCATAGTTTCATATCCAGAAAACCCTCAAAAAAATTTACAAGTAACGCATGCTGCTATTTTGACAATTATGTTTATGAAAGCCAATTGAACTTAATAATTTGAAATAAATCGTAGTTTTCAAATTATGACAATTTTGACAGCTGTCAAAGTTGAATTTTATAGTCTCATTTCCATAAAGCCCCAAAAAAAATTCACAAGTATCGCATGCTACTATTTTGACAATTATGTTTATGAGAGCAAAGTGAACTTGATAATTTGAAATTAATCGTAGCTTTTAAATTATGTCAATTTTGACAGATATCAAAGCTGAATTCTATAGTCCCATGTCCAGAGTGCCACCAAAAAAGTTTACAAGCATCACAAACTACTATTATTGTGACAGTTATGCTTATTAAAGCCAAGTGAACTTGATAATTTAAAATAAACCGTAGCTTTTGAATTATATCAATTTTGACAGATGTCAAAGCTGAATTCTATAGTCCCATGTCCAGAGTGCCCCCAAAAAAATTTACAAGCATCACATGCTACTAGTATTTTGACAGTTATGCCTACAAAAGCCAAGTGAACTTGATAATTTGAAATAAATCGTTTCTTTTAAATTATGTCAATGTTGACAGATGTCAAAGCTGAATTCTATTGTCCCATGTCCAGAGTGCCCCAAAAAAAAATTTCAAGTATCACATGCTACTAGTATTTTGACAGGTATGCTTGTGAAAGCCAAGTGAACTTGATAATTTGAAATAAATCGTAGCTTTTAAATTATGTCAACTTTGACAGCTGTTAAAGTTGAATTGTTTAGTCTCATATCCAGAAAGCCCCCAAAAAAATTTACAAGCATCACATGCTAATATTTTGACAGTTATGTTTATAAATGCCAAGTGAATTTGATGATTTCAAATAAATCGTAACTTTCAAATTATGTCAATTTTGACAGATGTCAAAGCTGAATTCTATAGGCCCATGTCCCGAGTGCCACCAAAAAAATTTACAGGCATCACATGCTACTAGTATTTTGACAGTTATGTTTATAAAAGCCAAGTGAACTTGATAATTTGAAATAAATCGTATCTTTTAAATTATGTCAATTTTGACAGCTGTCAAAGTTGAATTCTATAGTCTCATATCCAGAAAGCCCCCCAAAAAATTTACAAGTATCGCATGCTACTATTTTGACAGTTATGCTCATAAAAGCCAAGTGAACTTGATAATTTGGGATTAAAAAATCGTAACTCCGCTATTTTTGGTCTTTTTCCAATAAAATTTTGGTATGTTGAAGTTAAAAGGCTACTGGATATATAAAAAAATTCTTCATTTTCCAACGTTTCCTAGATTTCGAGGAAAGAAATCTAAAATTAGGCCATAATCTATATTGTAAAAATATCACTTGGTGTCTCTTTGGGATTAAAAAATCGTAACTCCGTTATCTTTGGTGTTTTTTCAATAAAATTTTGATATGTTAAAGCTAAAAGGCTTCTGGATATATAAAAAAATTCTTCATTTGCCAAAGTTTCCCAGATTTTCAGGAAAAAAATCTAAAATCAGGCCTTAGTCTGTATTGTAAAAATATCACTTAGTGTCTCTTTGGGATTAAAAAATCGTAACTCAACTATCTTTGATGTTTTTTCAATAAAATTTTGCTATGTTGAAGCTAAAAGGCTACTGAATATGTAAAAAAATTCTTCATTTTCCAAAGTTTCCCAGATTTCCAGGAAAAAAATCAAAAATCAGGCTATAATCTGTATTGTAAAAATATCACTTGGTGTCTCTTTGGGATTAAAAAATCGTAATTCCGCTATCTTTGGTGTTTTTTCAATAAAATTTTGGTATGTTAAAGCTAAAAAGCTTATGGATATTCAAAAAAATTCTTCATTTTCCAAAGTTTCCCAGATTTCCAGGAAAAAAATTAAAAATCAGGCTATAATCTGTATTGTAAAAATATCACTTGGTGTCTCTTTGGGATTAAAAAATCGTAATTCCGCTATCTTTGGTGTTTTTTCAATAAAATTTTGGTATGTTGAAGCCAAAAGGATTTGGATATTGAAAAAAATTCACCATTTTCCAAAGTGTCTCAGTGTTCCAGGGAAAAAATCAAAAATCAGGCCATAATCTGTATTGTGAAAATATCACTTGGTGTCTGTTTGGGATTGAAAAATCGTAACTCAACTATCTTTGATGTTTTTTCAATAAAATTTTGCTATGTTGAAGCTAAAAGGCTACTGAATATGTAAAAAAATTCTTATTTTCCAAAGTTTCCCAGATTTCCAGGAAAAAAATCAAAAATCAGGCCATAATTTGTATTGTAAAAATATCACTTGGTGTCTCTCTGGGATTAAAAAATCGTAACTCAACTATCTTTGATGTTTTTTCAATAAAATTTTGCTATGTTGAAGCTAAAAGGCTACTGAATATGTAAAAAAATTCTTCATTTTCCAAAGTTTCCCAGATTTCCAGGAAAAAAATCAAAAATCAGGCCATAATCTGTATTGTAAAAATATCACTTGGTGTCTCTTTGGGATTAAAAAATCGTAATTCCGCTATCTTTGGTGTTTTTTCAATAAAATTTTGGTATGTTAAAGCTAAAAAGTTTATGGATATTCAAAAAAAAAATTCTTCATTTTCCAAAGTTTCCCAGATTTCCAGGAAAAAAATTAAAAATCAGGCTATAATCTGTATTGTAAAAATATCACTTGGTGTCTCTTTGGGATTAAAAAATCATAACTCCGCTATCTTTGGTGTTTTTTCAATAAATTTTTGGTATGTTAAAGCTTAAAGGCTTCTGGATATTTAAAAAAATTCACCATTTTCCAAAGTGTCTCAGTTTTCCAGGAAAAAAGATCAAACATCAGGTTATAATCTGTATTGTGAAAATATCACTTAGTGTCTCTTTGGGATTAAAAAATCGTAACTCCGCTATCTTTGGTGTTTTTTCAATAAAATTTTGATATGTTAAAGCTAAAAGGCTTCTGGATATATAAAAAAATTCTTCATTTGCCAAAGTTTCCCAGATTTCCAGGAAAAAAATCAAATATCAGGCCATAATCTGTATTGTAAAAATATCACTTAGTGTCTCTTTGGGATTAAAAAATCATAACTCTGCTATCTTTGGTGTTTTTTCAATAAAATTTTGGTATGTTAAAGCTAAAAGGCTTCTGGATATATAAAAAAATTCTTCATTTTCTAAAGTTTCCCAGATTTCCAGGAAAAAAATCAAAAGTCAGGCCATAATCTGTAGTGAAGTAAATTATGCCAGTTTTGACAGATGTCAAAGTTGTCGATGTCTAATCAAATCCCAAAAAAATTTGACAGCTATCACACACCCATTTATTCGACAGTTTGAATGACTTCTCAAGACTTTTTCTACTTACAACTTGGAAATAATTTTTATATTTAAAGGCCACGATATTAAACTATAGTTAAGTCCTTGTTAGCACACAATCACCTTAGATTGTGCCATACAAAAACAATATCATGTTGACATTGACACAATCTAACCGACAGCTAAACTAGATAACTGTCCTCTGATAAACCGGTCCTAAGTCTAACTAGATATCTGCGACTATTATCAGCATCTGGCCAACAACCCCTTATAACAATCCCCCAAGGAGTAATAAATATGTTTCCCCTTGGAAATGCAAAAATTTCCAGCCTGGATCGATACTGGAAGCTATTTTTGAATGAACAAAGACCCTGCATAAGAAGGGCAATGACAAAATATATTTTTATGGGGAAAGATTATTGAAATCATTTTAAAGAATTTACTTATTTATTAAACTGTCGATTTACTTAAATTTCTGAAGCCAAAAATTAGATTTCCTTGACCCATTTTATCTATCGATTGACGTAAAATTGAGACAATTTATAATTCAATATACATATCCTATTAGTCTTTTTATTACCATGACATTTCTTAATGTTTTACTTCAATAAAATTTCTTCACATATATGAGTAATACAAAGGAAATCAAATTGGTCGCGAGAACCTTGACCTCTGCGGGTTCGCCCTTATAAGGGGAACCCGAGAAGGAACCGATCTCGAATGTGGTCGGCCTTCGACGGTTCCTGCAGTGACTTTAGTCTGCATCAGACATTGATGTCAGATTGTTAAAGCGAAAATTATTTAAAAATAGGAGATTCGTTCCAGTTTTTTTTGTGCCAATAATCCAGATTTTTGTTTCGTCACTCTCTTCTTAAATTAGTCACTTGTTGAATGATCACAATGATTTGGCAAATTTTTTGAAATCATTTTAAGAAATCACTTACCTGTATGATAATCTTATCCATTATGACATTGCGGTATTAAATTTTTAATTTTTTATACTGAAAACACTCAATTTGGCTGGAAATATTTCAATGAAAACTTGGATGACAAGGGAGAATAATAAATTTCAATGTCACATTTTAATGTCACAAAAACATTATGTAGATAAGAAGTCAATTATTATGATTTTGTTTGTATATAATCTTATCGTTAATTTTTTCTGCTAAAAGCTTCAAGTGCCATAGTCATTCAATTCCAACGAATAATTCTAGAATGAACAAAGTATCTGGATTAGGTGCAGTTATGAGGAAGTTCAGCCAGCAAGGGCAAGGGGAAGCAGCAGATGGATTGATTTTTAGACAGGTAACTATTTAAAAACAATATAAACAGTTTTATTTTTATATGAAAAAATAGCTTTTCGATCATATCAGCAGCACGTACACGTACCTGCTGGGCTGTGCCAGTTCTAAGGATTGCATCCTGATCGATCCTGTTCTGGAGCAGGTCAAGAGGGATTTCCAACTTGTCCAGGATTTGGGATTGAATTTGAAATATGCAGGTAAAAACTTAACTTTGAAGCTTAATATCTCAGAAACTAGACTATAGAAAATTTAATACTCTTTCCAGTGATGTATAATTGTAGGTAGGCAATTTTCTCAAATTTCCACGAACGCATGAGCATGTCAGGATCTCAAAAAATCTTTAGCCCTGACGCACCCTAGCTGGATCTAGCCCTTTCTTCAACTTGCCTTGGGTCCAATCCCTAATCTTTTCTCTTTCTTATGTAGATCTCTCTTGATCAACTCTTCTTTTCCAGCCCCCGACGCTATTAGAGCTATTCGAGGGCTAGGGGGTTTCCAATCTCACTTCCAGTACAGACACGACGGATCCTTAGGCCTAGGCGGTACTCCGGAGGGCAGGTGGTACTCTCACAAGCCGAAGCGAAGGCAACCCACCTTGAGAAGGACACTGGAACAAACCAAGGGAAAGACATCCAAAACCAAAAATGGATTTCATTTCAAAGAGACACTAAGTGATATTTTTACAATACAGATTATGGCCTGATTTTTGATTTTTTTCCTGGAAATCTGAGAAACTTTGGAAAATGAAGAATTTTTTTATATATCCAGAAGCCTTTTAGCTTTAACATACCAAAATTTCATTGAAAAAACACCGAAGATAGCGGATTTATGATTTTTTAATCCCAAAGAGACACTAAGTGATATTTTTACAATACAAATTATGGCCTGACGACAATCGCGATCGGCACACAATAATCACTCTACCAGTCTTGAAATTCACCGTGGCCCCACGTTGGGCGCCAATTTGTGAGATAATTATTAGGAAAGTTGAGTGCATGGGAAGAATTAAACGAGAACCGATAGAGAAAACTGAATACTGTATATAGAGAACACGAAATGAAATTTGCGTTATTGTACAATCAACATTGACATCTCGTATCTGGAAATTTGGGAAACTTTGTAGAATGAAGAATCTTATTATATATCCACAAGTCTTTTAGCTTCAACATACCAAAATTTCATTGAAAAAACACCGAAGATAGCGGAGTTACGATTTTTTATTCCCAAAGAGACACTAAGAGATATTTTTACAAAACAAATTATGGCCTGACAGCAATCGCGATCGGCACACAATAATCACTCTACCAGTCTTGAAATTCACCGTGGCCCCACGTTGGGCGCCAATTTGTGAGATAATTATTAGGGAAGTTGAGTACACGGGAAGAATTAAACGAGAACCGATAGAGAAAACTGATTACTGTATGTACAAGTTATAAAGCGAGAGCCGATAATTTGAGAAAGTCTGAATTGCTATGGGAATTGAAGCTAAGGGGCTTTCCCGTGGATGACACTTCGACAATGGAGAAAATGAAAGCAGCGCTAAGGCCTTTGATAAGATTGGAGAGAAAGAACCAATAATTGAGCTACCCAGATTATACTTTCATTTTTGACAACGAAACTAAGTATATACAAGATTGTGAAACAGAGATTACAACTCTCATGTATTCTTTCACTGGCACCAAGGCCAAAATAAAATTTTAACGTTTACAATCAAGATTGGTGCATTTCCTTCGTAGAGTGGATCTTCTGCCCAACCAGTGAACAAGTTAAACTGCTCATGGAAATTCCTAATGCCTTAGATACATTAGAGAAGTGTAATAAAGAGGATCCCAATTTGAGCTCTATGTTGAACCAAACTCATTTGAGTGAATCGTCTGAGTCGGATGATGACAATGTTTCTGTTATATCTCGACCAGCTAGACACGCAACCGCCGCAAATACTTCATCGCTTAATAGTTCTAATACTTCTCCCGCCATAGCGTCGACATCTAACACAAATACACATTCACCAGCATATGCTAAACCTCAACAGGTAGAAAAGCGGGGAATCAAATTTACGGGAAACACAAAACTAATGTCCGTGCACAGTTTTCTAGAGCGAGTTAACGAGCTCAGAAGAGCAAGGAATATTTCGGAAAAGTAACTTTTTGAATCGGCAATAGATTTGTTTGACTCCAAAGCGAAAGAATGGTACAGATCCAACTGTCATAGATGCGGAACATGGAGCGAGTTGTGTGATTTGTTGAGGAAACATTTCGAGGAACCGGACTACAAACCAAGACTGTTTAAACAAATAATGGATCGTACCCAAGATTCCTCAGATTTCATAGTTAGTTACTTGTCCGATATGAGTGGACTTTTCAGAAAGTATGGAGGTATTCCGCTCGACGTACAGCTGGATATCGTTATAAGGAATTTGGCTCCATTTTATGGAACTCAGCTTCCCATCGTAAGCTCAATAGAAGAATTGGAGGACGAGTGCTTAAAACTGGGAACGAAGAAATATAGAGCCGATCATTATTTACCGCCGTCAAGAAAGAAGAACACATTTCTGGAACCGGATTTCGCCTTTGTATCAACCCGTGAGCTGGAAACAACTGCCGATGTTGACGTCATCAGTTCTCAACATTCTCGTCCACCATCTGGTCGCGTCTCAACGTTAACCTGCTGGAATTGCCAGGAGATCGGACATATGAACCAAGAATGCACAAAACCAAAAAGGACTCATTGCTACAGATGTGGAGCTCCTAATGTCACGATTAGTGCCCAAAATGTTCGGGAACCGACACAAGGAAGGGTCAATAGACCGTGAGATCTCTTCCATTCTGGATTTATCGGTCGTTTCTACAGATTTTCCCCAAAAGATAATTTTAGATTATATCGTTGGTCATGCCCACGGTGATCAAAGACCATATTTGAAAATGTCTATCTTGGGATACAAAATGCGAGGCTTGATTCCGGTGCTTGGCGCACAATTGTTGGGTTGCCATAGGCTTTGAGGTTTTAAAAAGCTTAGGCCTTCATAATATTTGTTGTACGGTGGCAAACGGACAAAGTTGCGCCAGTACTGGCTATTTTCAAGTTCCCGTCATCCTGATGCATAGAACCAAAATTATTGACATCCTGGTCCTACCTACACTATCCCATCCCTTAATCCTCGAAATAGATTTTTGGACATCCATAGAGTTGGTTCCAGACCTACAACAAGATATATGGCATTTTTCCGACACGAAATAGAGCTGTTGCCTGGTATGAAACCTATCAAGCAGAGGTACTACCCAGTATCTCCGATAAAACAGAAGATAATGGATGACGAACTACAAGAAATGTTATGTTTAGTTGTGATTGAACCATCCAAAAGCCCTTGGTTTGCTTGGCTACTAAGAAAGATGGCTCCTATCGCTTTTGCATAGATTTTGAAAAGCTAAATGCCGTAACAAAAAAAGATGTGTATCCTTTGCCATACATTTCATCAATCCTGGACTGCCTTAGAGATGCTCGTTACATCAGTTCTGTGGATATAAAGTCAGTTTTTTGGCAGGTGCCTCTAAATGAAAAATCGAAAGAGTACATAGCCTTTACGGTTCCAGGACGCCCATTATACGAATTCACTCGTATGCCTTTTGGGTTGAATAACGCTCCAGCCACTTGGCAGAGAATTGTGGATAGCGTTCTTGATTATGATTTGGAGGAGTATGTTATGGTCTACTTCGACGATATAATCGTCATATCCAGAAACTTCTCGGATCATCTAAGAATTTTTGCCATCCTATTCGACAGACTAAAAGAAGCTAGACTTATGATCTCTAAAAAGAAATGTCGTTTTTGCAAACCACAACTTGAATATCTAGGTTATCTGGTGACGTCAAAGGATTGCGCCCGAACCCTGAAAAGGTTGAGGCGATTGTCGACATACCTCCTCCAACGAACGTTCACGAAATTAGGAGATTTTGTGGGACAGCGTCTTGGTACAGGCGGTTTATTCCCAATTTTTCGTCCGTCATGGCGCCAATAACCTCTCTGACTAAAAAGAACATAAGATGATACTGGACAGAAAACTGCCAGAGATCTTTTAATCTTATTAAGGAAGCACTTGTTACTGCTCCCGTTTTGACCTGCCCGGATTTTAGTAGATCTTTTACCTTGCAGACAGATGCGTCCAACTATGGACTCGGCGCAGTTTTCACCCAGGAGTTTGAGGATGGCGAGAAAGTTATATGTTATCTGTCACGATCTTAATGCGGCAAGAACAAAAGTTGAGCGTCACTGAAAAAGAATGTTTGGCAGTGATATGGGGTGTGGAAAAGCTAAGACATTACCTCGAAGGGCAAAAGTTTACAGTTATCACTGACCACCAATCTCTATTGTATTTGGCAAACTTAAAGGATCCACAGGGACGATTAACTCGTCGGTGTTTGCGGTTATAGCCCTACGATTTTGAACTTTTTCATAGGAGGGGCAAAGAACATGTTGTTCCCGACTTTGTATGAAGATCCGTTCCTGTTATTGACATTGATGTCATTCATGTTGATGAAGTTATCAGCAATCATTTGTCTTTCGGCCAAACCAAGGATAAATGGTACAAAAACATGTTTTTAAAATTAAAAAAACAGCCTGATAAATTTGCGGATTGGCGAATGAAAAATGAGTTGTTCTACAAACACATCCTACCCAGAACTCAGTGGTTCAGCTACCTCCTGGAAGATCGTTGTTCCCAAGGACAGACGCCTGGAAGTTCTAAATAGATGTCATGATATCCCAGCTGCCGGACATATGGGAGTTTTTAAAACGTTCTGGAAAGTTGATGAACGTTATTTCTGGCCTAAAATGAGAGCCGACATTACTCGTTATGTGAGGAGTTGCCAAATCTGTGCTCAGAATAAGGTGGAACAAGAAGCTCCTCCAGGACTTATGGGTGATCGACCTGCAATTGAGGAACCGTGGCAAAGTATCAGCCTCGATTGATATGCTCCCTAAGAAAGACCGGGGACGATTCCCTATGTTTTAAAGTAGACGGGAATAAACAGGACGCAAACTCACTGAAAATCGAGATCCAGAAAAATATGACTGGCATTCAAGTTAAGGTCAAATCTAACGAGCAAATTTTCTTTAGACTAAACATAGACGGAGATACTACCAGCGAGAAAGTAGTAGAGACTATTGCTAGGGTAACCGGCATTGATCGAAAAAATCTGGAGGTTAGAGCGACACCAGCAAAAGCGGAAATCAATCCGGCATGGTCGCCGTGCAACAAGGCTTCGGCGGTAAACTTTTAGAGCTTAGCAAGATTAAAATAAAATGGTGCACCTGTAGAGTAAAACTCAAGGTCCCCAGGCTTTGGGCATTGGACCGTAGACTGCAAGGGCTCAGATAGATCCAAAAACTGCATGAACTGCGGCAGCACAAGACATCAGGCTAAGAACTAATCGAACAACATAGGAGAAAGCTGGTGGAGACCTACAAGCTAAATGGACAGTAGTGTTTACATTCCGAGAAACCACAGGACCTCCAAGGAAGATCAATACCGGCCTATTACCCCATCCTCCTTTATTAAAATAATGCAGGTAAATCTCAATCGCTGCCACACAGCACACAATCTAGCAGAAGCAACCGCAAGGGAACGGAACATCGACATTCTATCCCAGGAATCAAACCATAAATAAATCACAAAGGGAGGATGGCATACTGACTTAAGAGTGGAGAGTAACTAATCGAGACTTACTCTTCAACAGCTCGGGATCAGGAAATGGTTTTGTATATATTGAATTTCACTTTGTACAGCTGCTACTTTTCGCCAAATGCAAGCACAAACGAGTTTAAAACAGCCCTGGATGCCTTGCAAAGCTCCATAGACCTACTGAATTCCAAGAGTGCAATCATCACGGGTGACTTGAATTCTAGCTCTCCTGGCCTGGGGCATGTCTTTCACAAACGGTACTTGAGGACTTTATGGCCTCTAGAGACCTAGTACTCCAGAATACGGGACAGGAACCAATTTTCCAGAGAGGGAGTTTCCTCCATAGTGGACCTTACTCTGACCAAAGGCCAGATCGATTCCAGAATCGTAAACTGGCAAGTTCTCAACCAGGAGACTATGAGTGACGATAACTACATCTACTTTGTACATTGGATTAAATTCATACTAACAGGGAAGGTTAAGGTGGTTGTCAAAAACAGGGTTACACCAGCCTATAAAAGCAACTGAATTAGTTTTTTGGATGTTTTATAGAGAATTCAATCCTTTTTTAGAATACCCATTATGCAATTTGATTCGTTGAAAATTACGGACTGTGAGCAAATTTTTGAGACCATGTCCAAATCGAAAAATTTACTAATTGAACGCTAAATAATAGGATTATAGCCTCAATGACCTCATGCGCAGATGACCAAAACCGGTCTTTCAATTGCTAAATCTGCGCACATCCTGGAAAAAGCACGCTGGTCTCTAAGCTCTATGCCATACTTAAAATATAATTCCTGGTACTTGAATCGACACGAGTTCAATGATTACTTTTTTAGTGAACACCCACATGCACGCCGACCACGTGACCGGCACCGGTCACCTGAGACTGTTATCCGGCTGCCGGACAATCATTTCCAAGGCCAGCGGCGCCGACGCCGACATCCACGTAGAAGAAAACGACTCCATTGAATTCGGAAATCAAAAACTTCAAGTCTTGAGCACTCCTGGACACACCAACGGATGCGTCACTTATTATAATCCAGAACAGGTAGATACATGATTTTGTATAATAGAAATATCATGAAAGATTTCATTCCAAGAATGTGATGATTATGACTATGTTTTAGGCAATGGCATTTACAGGCGACGCCCTTTTGATCCGCGGTTGCGGTCGTACCGATTTCCAAGAGGGCGACCCCAGAACACTGTACCGCAATGTCCACGATAAAATATTGTCCCTGCCGAAATATACTCGGCTATTTCCGGCGCACGACTACAAAGGGCAAACTTGTACGACGGTGGACGAGGAAAAGCGACTGAATCCTAGACTTACGAAAACCGAGGATCAGTTTGTTGAGATTATGAACAATTTGAATTTGGCTTATCCGAAACAGATTGGTCAGTGGTTGATGTTTTTAGTTTAATATTCAATGATTATTGTTTTGTTTCCAGATCGTGCCCTACCAGCAAATAAAGCATGCGGAGTCTACGACATTCCAGAAGACACACAAAAACATACAATTTAAGCTCTCTACTCTAATGAAAACGTGCATTGTATTAATATGATATAAGCGAAGCATTTAGAATTACATCAATCAATAAACAATGATGTTATTTACTTGAGGAAAAAATTGTTGCTTTTTTTCTAATAAACCTATCCTAGATCCACTCTGATTTTGAGTGCTCAGAGTATGTTCGTAACTTAAAAAATTTCTCAGTTTTTGTTTATTTTGTAAAAATTAAAAATAAGATTATCACTGAAATTCTTACTCCTTTTATTAATATTGGCACAATATAAGCTAACAATTAAGTTAAAAAAAGAAGAGATTCACTACAACTCTATACTAATTACATTAATGCAAAAATACATAAAAATCACTATACATAGCTCTTTTTGTTCTTAGAAAATACATTTAAACCTAATAATGCACATTTAATATTTGATCTTTCTGTAGAAAAATATACGAGTTGAGGGTGCGTTCCTATTCTAACTTAGTTGAAATCAGAACACACTCTTTCATTGACTATATCAGTCTTGGTTTTTAAAAGAATTTTTGGCTGCTTTGTTAGTAAAAAAAATATCCTCAAGAACTAAAATTCGTCATGTCTAGCTAAAGCCTCCCCAAAATCTGTAGCCTGAGACCCAACAAACAAATCGTACTTTTTCAAAATTTCCTCTTTGGTAAGTTGCTCGTCAGCATCTTGATCGCCTTCGTAAATCAAATGCCTGGCTTCAGCATCTGCATGGTCGAAATCTTCTGGAATAATCCAGTTTTTGACTTCATCTTCATCCATAAATCCGTCGCCGTTTTTGTCCCTGTAAACGTTGAATTGTTCCTTTTCGCTTTTTACCCAATCTGGTTCTTCTTCATTTTCGTCACCTCTGTACATGTCTCCTATGTATTCATCTACAGAGATTTTTCCATCTGAGTCTTTGTCAATGTCTTCCATAGTCTCTTGGACAATAATGGTGCGCATGTTTTCGTATTCTTCTGGATGTAGAAATGAGGCGAATTCTTCTTTGGTTAAGCTGTCGTCGCCGTCACTATCGGCTGCGCCCCATCTTCTTCTATCACGGCTGCGCATTTGTTTGTAGGTCTTTTCTTCGTCACTATCATGAGGCTAAAATTTCCATATAATATTATTAAATGATTGAAAATTTAAATGCTTACATGTGGAACAGGATGCTCCAAAAACCCATAAACAAGTTTCTGGTAAGTTTCCCATGCAATTGTAGGATTGTCTTCAGGGTTTTGTTGCTTCCATTGCCTGTTTACGTCTTCGGAAATGTAGCGTTTTTGAGTGAATCGGATCCAGTCTTTTAGTTCTTCACGGGAAACGTAGCCGTCTTTGTTGGTGTCGATTTTGTCTACGATTAATCTGGAAATACAACATTTGAGATCAGAGGCCTGGATTCGGAACCCATGACTATCGTCTATCTATATTGTGAGTGAGTGAAGAGTTGAAATTTTGAGGACTTTTTCCTAAAGATTCAATGTAAAAAATACTAAAAACTCAAAGCCATTGAGTTATTATTAATGGAGTTATGATTTTTTTTTAAATAATGATGTTTTGTAAAGTAATACTCTACAAACAATTTCAGGTACCTACTTCAAAAGATTTTCTGCTTTTCACTCCTCACTTATAACTCATATAATTCTTACCCTAATCTCCTTTTACTCTCCTCAGGAGGCAACTGATCAAAAGTCTTCGCTTCCTCGCCCAAAAAAGCCTCATGATCGTACTGAGTATTGTGATGCTCATTCTCGAAATGTTCCTTGTCGCTCACGTCCCGGTCAAATACACGCTCTTTATGGTTTTCCTCTTTAGGTAAAGCTTCAATAAGCATTAAAAATGCTACAAAAACGTAAATTTTCAGCATGATGTCACACAAGTGGCTCGATCTTATTGGTGACACGACGATCCAGGAAGCTGGAAAAGTAATCTGAAACGACCCAAATTCATTTATAAACGATAAATCCGGCTCGGCTGACGTGTTTGTTTTTTTATGGACAAATAAATGGGTATCGTACTTATTTTTAAACATTTGTACTTGTTTTGTAACTTGTGTTATAAGACAACTTGTAAAACAATTACAACAACAAAACAACAATTTATTTTTAAAAGCGTTATTTACATGGAGCAAATTGTAAAAAAATTATATAATAATTGTATATAATAAGTAAGAGCCATTATAAAGCTTCATAAGCCGATAATTTTTGTTTTATAACATTGGCCCTTATTGTACTACAAAATAGTATAACATAAGTATTGTACCAACCGTCAGCTGTTTGCTTCAAGGCTGAATAGGCCGTATACTGTTGAAAAGAGAAAATCGGTAATACAAGCTATGGTCTTTGTCTTTTCTATAGAGATAGACGGAGATGTCCTGAGTTGGTATGGTAGGCAAGTTTTATTATCATTTTAAATACCTTCGCCGAACTGTAAGGAAATAATAAATATCTTGCTAGCTTGGCGAAGGACTTATAGTAGCTCTATAAGAGAATTGTGTGTGTGTATCCTTACTTATCATAGTAGGCCAAACATCTTCTATCTTACTTTCACTTTAAATTTTCTATTTCAATTTTTGTCTTTTTCAGGTAAGTAGTTCCTGGAAAACTTCTTCCCAAGTTCACTTCAAATCTGGGAGAACAAGAAGAAGCTCAAAAGGTAATTTGTTGTTCAACTAAAGGGTCATTTACATCTGCTTAAAAATTAAGGAAATCAACGTAACACACGGAAAAGTTGAACCAACTTCAACTTGAGGAAATCCGTGCGTTAATTTCAATAATAATTATGAATGACAGACAGATTGAAACAGTCTGTAAATCAATGTCATTATGGTGACTACATGTAGGAAAATTAACTTCATTGTAAACATACCTCAGTTTCATACGTTAATTATAATTTTCCGTACGTTAAGTTAAGTTAATTGGATTTAAATGACCCTTAAAACGTTCATTGTCCTATCCTATGACCCATATATGTTTTTTGCAAGTCCTGTGCCCCATATATTTGACCCACGTTTGGGTTTTATTTCATATTAGGTTTTGAGACGGAGTGTCGATCACATCTACAGAGGACTCTGTAGTATATAATACAAGGCAACTATGCAAAGAGTACAAATTTGAACCATATTTGATGCATGGACTTAGGCATTGAAGCATTGACAACTTATTAGGCAGATACCTGATAACATGCGGAACAATATGTTGAGGTTTTCTTGAACCAAATATGTCTCATAGGACTTTGCGGATATGAAGTTTAACTCCAGAGTCCCATGGCCCAAATATGGGACATCAGTTTTTTTTATATGAAGGACTCGTGTGCTTGGCTGATGGGTTATTCGGCAACCCGCAACAACAAACATGGTAGCGGTATTGTCTGTCCTTCGCAAAAAGCAGGCAATTCAGCGAACGATTCCAGTAAATCTGGCTGAAAGTTCGCTGAGCCCAGCTTTCCGGGGATGGGCGGTACTTCGAACCGCGACTCGTCCGGTTAAATGAGGACCCAGGCACGGTCGGGGGGTTAAAGGCTTAGATTGTTAAAGGTATACCCTGAGTAATACCCATAGTCTCACTAATTGGCATGGACGAAGGACCCCTAAATGTCTACCCTATCCCAGGTATCTTGGCAATGGATGACTGGGGTATTCCGAAAGCTTGTAAGGGGGAAACACCGATCCCGAACCTTGTCAAGGGGAAAGGAACTCACCTAGTGAGCCCTTTTATCACAAGAAACTACTGCGCCGAGTCGACCACATTCCGGTGCCGGTAAAAATACTCGCCGCTGTGCTCACTCCAGGACTCGTGGACCGTGGTCGAACGGTACAAGCGTGTATTAACCTAGATGTGGTAGCTACCATAAAAATGGGAGCGAAAACGGTTTGTTGGGGGAACCCGACTAACACGAATACCCAGGGAAAAGACTTGCCCAATCAAGTATAAAAACTTGGTCCTTCTGCAGGTGTTGTACTCTGTGGGGTAGCTACGGCTAGCTTGATAGTTGGTGGGTAACAGAAGTGCCAAAGCCGAAAGGTAGGACGCGTAGGACAGCTCAGTCAATGTATAAGCTATATGTATCATAATTGGTATATCAGCTTCTTCTATGTTACTATACTTCTTTGTAACATGTCCAGGGTGCTACAAGTACCTGATGGGGCATACGACTGAAAGAATTCGATATTTTTTGCATTGCATTATTATTTCAACCCCTTCCCAAAAACGAGGGGCATATTGTAGCAAATAATTCCTATAATAAATGTTTGAAGCTTAATTTTATTATGTAGACAACCCCAACATTTCTGAGTTAGTACAGGTAAGGGTACCTACATCATCTGTGATTGAATGGATTGTGATATAACTGATATACTCTTTGCCGTATTTTCGAAATCTCTCTCTAGACTTAGGTGACATTTCTGAGTAGCTATCAAAAATAAAGTCGATTCTATTTGGACATACTTTCAGTGTAGCACTTATCATATTGCAGGATGCAATAGCAAGATCCTGGAAGGTTGTCAGCTAGGTACTAGAGTGTAATCCTGGGGATCAAGTACCTTGCTTAAATCAACAATTAGAATTGACTTTTGCATTTCTTTTTTCAAAACGCTTTCTTCTTCAAAAAGGAAGTTATCTTGTCTCAATTAACAGTAACTTCATACTATATCCCTGTTCTTTCGCTAGCTCGATAATACGCTGACTCTCTCTATTTTGTTTGTGGTCAATTTTGGATTGCTTCTTTCTGCGGCTGCTGTTTTGAACGGTGGAAACTTAATTCTACTAATAATATCAGAAAGTGGTTACGTCTTTTCAAATATTTCCTTGCGAAATTGTTCGTATACTTCACAACCAGGTTTAAATATGTTCAAAAGAGCTTTGGTTACATCGGGGGGTGTTTGCTCCTGCGTGACAATATTTCGCAGTGGTTGATTTCCTTTCATAAATAAATTCACGCGCTGAGAAATATATGGAATCATTTTTTCAATAACGTTAAGTTAGGTTTAGGTTTCTTATGAGTGGTCCGATGTCGGCCTTTCCACTGCGACCTACGGTCTATTGTGGCTCACTCCGAGTTTATTTTTCCTCCATAAGTCCAGCCCTTCTTATGAAGGTGGCGATAAATGTGGGAGAGGGCTTGCTTTATGTATTCGGGTCAAACAGCTGATTCTTATTGCCGGACACGTGCATAAGACGTGTTCTGCAGTTTCGTCCTATTCTATGCATAGACATTCAGCACTTTGTGCTATTCCGATCCTATGCATGTGATAACGGAGTCTGCAGTGTGCAGTGTACAGACCCACCAGTGCTTTGAGGCTCTTCCTCTCCATTCTCAGAAGTATGTCTGCCAATTTTCCCCCTTTTGGACAGGGTACAAAGGATTTTGCATGGTTCCTGCCTGGTAGTCTCGACCAATATTGTTTGGCCTCTGTATTAACCTAAATCAAGATTGTGAGGTTAGACGTATTCATGGCTATACCCAGTACTGACTCCGGTCCAATGAAGTTAAGCTCCGATTCAGATTTGGAAAGTTGGTCCGCTTTTGCGTTGTCTTCTTGTCCGGTATTGTCCCAGTTTCCAGACTAGTGAAACGTAGTTCTTTTCTCCTAGCTGGGTCAGGGCTTGTTTACAGTTCCATACTGCTTTCGACGTGCGATGTATGGATGCCAGTACTTTCAGCGCAGTTTGGCTATTAGATAATATTTTTATCCACTTGTGCGTTTGTTGCTTTTCTAGCAGCTTTTTCGCGCCAAGCTTGATGGCCAGCAATTCGGCCTGAAATATGGATGCGTTTTTACCAAGGCTGATAGAAATTACCAGTCTTGGTTTTTCACCATATACCCCTGCTCCGACACCATGTTTAATTTTGGAATCATCTGTGTTCAGGCAGAGATCTGCCCTCAGTAGCTCGGTCCTGTCGCTGGCTCTCTTTCAGGAATCATTGTTTTCAAGGGCAAATCAAAGTTGGTTTACTTTGACATTATGTCAGAAGGCATGCTGAGGGTGCCGTGCCGATTTATTTCATCCACAAGCACCGTGTGTTGCATTGCGCTGCTCTACTCCAAAGTGCTTTTCAAAGCATGGTACAGCCAATAGGTTGACCTAAAAGCTTCCCTCTTCACGTATATGTGGAGTAGAGACAGATTTATGAGGACTTCCATAGCTGCTGTAAGCGTGGTGTGCAACGCTTCCGTTATCGCCAGGCAAGCTATTCTCTGCAGTCCGCTAAGTGTGGCTTGAACCCTCTTTTTTGATTCGCCTTGCCCCACCATACTACAGAGCCATAGGTTATCATTGGTCTGATAACTATGGTGTAGATCCAGTGAATCTGTTTTGGAATTGTTCCGCAGATCCTATGCCAGTTCCAAAACGACAATTTTGCCTTTTGGCTTACTCTTTCCGAATGAGCGTTCCAGTATAGAATCTTGTCCAGGATAACTCCCAAATACTTTGCTCCATTTGAGAATGGTACTCATTCTCCCCGAATATTTAGGGGTACCAAGTTATCAAGTTTTCTTCTCCTGGTGAAGGGTACTATGACCATTTCATGAGGATTGATTGTCATTTCCTCTCTGTCGCACTAATTAAGCACGCAGTCTAGCACCTTTTGGAATACACCTGAGACCCTCGTCTCAGAACTACCCTTGGCTATTATAACTAGATCGTCCGCATATGCTTGAACCTCGACACCCCACAGTTGTATCACGGCCAGGAGGTCATCCACCAGAAGTGACCACAGAAGCGGAGAGAGTACCCCTTCCTGCGGACAGACCCTGGCGGCCCTGAACCTGACCGTTTCCCCCTGTAGAGAAGTCGTTATCACTCTACCGTTCAGCATGGTCCTAATCCAGTTACAAATTAGCGGGTCAATGCCTCTAGATTTTGTTGCCACGTAAAGGGAGCTTGGCATCGCATTGTTGAAAGCTCCCTCTATGTCCAAAAAGGCGGCAAGTGCAATGCTCCTACGGTCCAGAGAGTGGTCTATACCAGCGACCATAGGTAACTAAGAGCCAACTCTGTGGACTTTCCTGCCTGACAGACGTATTGGTGGGTACTAAGAGGGTTAGCCCTGAGCGCCTTTCTCTTAATCCAATCTGAATGATTGGGGTGTGGTTTTTTTGCTTCCCGCTTTAGGGATATAGATCACCTTGGTAGCTGTCCAGCTTGGTGGAATATGGTTCCACACCATAATAACCATATCTAATCGATCGGCACGTGCCGGAAAGGTGTGAACTACGTCGTTTGAAGTGTAGTACCATTCCGTTCCTCTGGTGTTCCCTTTTCTTTTCCGTTCTGATTTTCAGGGTGAATAGTCGAGCTACGTAGTGGAGCAAGAGAGGCTTCGTGACATTTGATGAAGGCGCCGCTTTCCTGGAACACCTTGACGATCTAGACAAGAGAAACAGTCAGGACCATTCTGAACGACGGAAGAAAAATACCCTATAACCTTTCCCTTATCCAATCTAAACATAAAAGGGACACACCAGATACTTAAAAATAATTTCGTCAATAATAATTTAAACAGAATCTCTTGGGAAGATATTGTAAGGGATTTCTCAAAAGAATTTGAAGACGCCAACTACCTGATGACCCTAAAAAGGAAAGTAGAGGAGCACAAACAGGACCCAAAAGAGACAGTTCGGGATTACTTGTACGAATTGAGGGTACTGTACTATGAATAACATAGATATAGAAGAATTTGTTATCATTTTCAACAAAGGGTTGACCGAAAAAAACTTTTATACTATCACTGGCTCACGATCCCGCCAGATGGTCGATCAGACACACTAGATAAAGCACCAAAAAGAGAAGTAAGAGAAATATAAAAAGAAGACTTCCAAAACTTCCAAGAGAAGGCAATCAGGGACTCCAAAATAACAGAAACCAGGTGGTGTGTTATTATTGTGACAAAAATGGGCACATATGCAGAAGCAGACCACAGCCGAACACATCAACGTAATATAGAAACAGCGGAAAATGTGATAACTGTGGGAAAATAGGATACGCTGCGGCGATGTGTCAAAGCCAACCACAGAGAAGTCGAGCCTATAGTCCCCGAAATTATGGCAATGTTACAATACAATTGTAGAAAACAGGGACACTTTGCAGCCACCTGCAGGAGTCAAAAGCAGAACCCAAATGCAAAAAGGATGGCAAAAATAGATACCCACGCCATTCTAGCCCTTGGGGATACATTTAGAATAGGAATCTTATTCATCACAGTTACAATACTACTACTATAGTCGATACCAGAACCCAAAATAACGTCATACTGAGGAAAACCACTTATTTAAAATATTATTTCTTCAAATCTTAACTTTTTTTAAAAAATGTAGTAAAAGTAGATGTTGCAACCATGTATTGCTCAGTGGGATTCATGAGGAGAAGAGAGCGCCATCAAATTTAGGGGATCGCGTTCGGGCGGTACTACGAAGGGAAAGTAGATAGAGAATACGCAACTAGACGACAGAACGCGCTGGCCTGGTCCCTTAGAAAACGTGTTGCGTGTCTGTAATTATTCATTATTCAATTTTCATTTCTATTTTGCATTAAAATTGATTGTTCAATCCAATTTGTTATTAGTGGTTGTGTAAGGAGAGTTCACAGGTTAGTGTATTTAATGTTATTTTGTTTTTGAGAGTTCAATTTATGCAAGTTCCTATTATTTTGTTCATTTTCATGTATTTTTGTTTATTTAGAACATTTTTTATAACATGTGCATTGTTTATGTATTTAACCAAAATCGTTTCATGCTTTAAACAACACAGATAAAGAGTAAATTAGAACCTAAGAAATTATGTGCTGTCTTTTTGTGCTGATATTTTGATTTTGTGTATTCAGAGCGTGCATTAGAGCCTTGTTGAATTTACTAACATTTTCCTACCCTGACGAGAGAATATCCTAACAAATCGAAATAATCAATCCAGAGATATTGGCTCAAAAACAACTATAGCTTCTCGTATGGGACCTCAGTACCTGCTGGGAAACTGGCTAACTAATCAAAAACTCTTCAGTTTGGAATATAGGTAGTGTGATTGAATCTAGTGTGTGAAATTGAAATTTTAGCACAAGAACAAAGGATGGTACCTTACTTAAACTTTTATTGACTTAAAAATTATTGAATTAATGACTCACAATTATTATTATTAAAATGACACAGTATGTTTCGATTTTTGGGGAATGTTAGATCGAGGGTTTATCTGCCGTTCTCTTTCCCCTCGTTAGTTCCAGGATGAGAACGGTACGTTTTTCTTTGATAATAAAGGAGAAGTTTCACAAATTTTTCGTTTCTTTTACATATCACAACTCCCTTAAATTTCCCAAATATTTGCTATGTGTCCAGTAAGTAAAATTGAGTAAGTTTCCACAACGTAGATCCTATTTGTTTTTCATTTAATTTTTCGCCTTTTCTACATGAAAAATTTGATAGCATTGACAATTTTACATTATATTGCCAACCTAATGTCAGTTTGACTTTTATCTTTAAAAAAAAACGCACTTTAGCTATTAGTCACCGCAGGGAGACATCGAATACCAGTTTTGGGAAAAATGACAACAACAATGTAAATTGCAGGAAACTTGAAGTGGAAAGGTATACTCAATGCAAAAGTCATCTCAGTGTCAGGGCAACCGCGATGATCCTGGGAATGGAATTTTTGACAAAGAATAGAGCTATCGTAGACCTGCCAAGAAAAATACTTTTATTGAATAATAAATATAGAATGCGACTATATCAGGACTATAAGCAGAACATTAGCTTGTCAAGCCTCATTACCGCAAAAAACTCGAGCACGGAACCTAGCTGCTCTCAAAAAGATGAAGAAGAATTCAACAAGTTTATCAAGAACCACATACACATAAGAAAAACAGATTCCTGAGGGAAGAACATCGAGACATAAATCACCTGGTATTCGGAGTAACCCAGAACTACATAACAAAGAGGTGCATATATAGAAAATACAGGTGCAGCCTCCCGAAGAAAAGGGAATCAGGAACTATTGGACAATTGAAAGAGATAAAATATGGGAAAAAATCAGAGAAACAATGAAAAAAAAATCCTATCTCAATAAACATGTACAGATACCTGACAGCACTGAAAAATACTAGCAAATCTAGGTCCCACACAACATTGGTCATTCCAAGACAAAGATGGGGATTGGAAAAAGCATGGGGAAGATTTGAACAAATGCTGTATCATGTTTCCAAAGACTCAGGAATCGAAATCCGCATACAAAAACAGGCAGCAAAACAACAAGAGACCGAAAAAAATTCCGAAGAGGAAATGGGTCAGCCAATGCAGATAATCGCTGACACCCGAAGAAAAACGCTTGAAATAGGAACGAAGAGAAATTACACCATAGCCGAAAACCAAATAGGAACAATCGAATTCGAAATCATGGGCAAAATGGATGACATAAATGAAACAATAAGCTACCAATGCAAATACAAATTAGATTGGCTCGCAAAAAAGTACCTAGTATAAAAAACCCATATCTACACAGATGGGGACTCCCTCGTCCTGACGTTACAGTCAAAAACAAGGAATCCAGCATTTATATACGCAGGAACCACCATAACATTTTTAGAGGAGTTGGAAAACGAAAGCCCGTTGTACCACCTAGAAACGCAAGAAGAAATATTAGATGAAACCGAGAAAATAACAGTAGAAGACCACAAACTAGAAAACATTAGAGACAAATGAGCAAAACAGGCATTGCAGGATTTCCTGCTAGAATATAACGACGTTTTCGCCGAATCAACTAGACACATGGAAAGAACAAACCTAACGGCACATAAGATAGAAGTAGGAGAAGCGCAACCAATAAAAAGCTCCATACAGAGTGTCTCAGAAAAAAAGACAAATAATCGATGGACAAATCAAGGAGATGCTGGACAGCCAAGTAATCAGACCTTGTCATTGCCCGTGAGCTAGTTCGATGGTTCTAGTAAAGGAAAAACGAGATTTTGTGTAGACTACCGAAAAATAAATGCCGTGACGAAAAAATCAACGCACCCACTACTACAAATAGACAACATTTTGTCATACTTAGGGGACGCAGCATACTTTAGCACCCTGGATTTGTTCTCGGGATACGGGCAGGTACCTGTAGGAGAAGGATCAAAACAATAGCATTCGTCGCACAGGGACATTGTACATATGAATTCAACGTTCTCAGTTTTGGGTTATGCAATGCTCCTGCCACTTTTCAGGAACTTGCAGACCAAGTATTTTGGGACATGAAATGGAAGGAACTACTCATATACCTGAGACGACATTATAATCTTTTCAAAAACACTAGAGGAACACATTGCCAAACTAAGGAAGGGTAGCAGGGAAGCAAACCAAATGCTCAAACCAAGCAAATGCGAGTATCTAAGAAAGGAAATAAAAATTTTGGGATTCAAGGTCAGCGAAAAAGGAGTCTTCCCGTTCTGATTTTCAGGGTGAATAGTCAAGCTACGTAGCGGAGTAAGAGAGGCTTCGTGACAATATTTTTCAAAGGCACCTTAAGGATGAGTATTTTCATTCTCACTGCAAACCTTTTCAAATACCCTTTATTCTAAATTATTACAGCACCCAAACAAATCGCAATCTTCATAATATACTTTTCAGGTACTTTATTGCATTTTCTACAATAATAAAAAAATTCTTTATTTATTACAAATCCACTAACTTAACAATTTATCATATTTATGTATTGGGAATTATTTATGTATTTACATTTTTTTTTTTTTACAAATTATTAGTAAATTGTACTTGACTTTTTTAATTTTGTATTCATTCTTTTGATTTTGATTATTAGCTTTTTTGATTTTCCTATGTCAGTTACCAGTACAATTTACTCAAACAGGATAGGAAAAAACAAAAACAAAAAAAATTAATAAGAAAAAAAATATATGTATTAAGTGTCATATAATTAAGTAAACAATAATAAGAAGGTCCAAAAAAAAAAAAAAGAAAATAATTAAATAGAAAACAACATATCCTCATACGTAATATGTTTTTCAAAAAATTTAACAACTCATCATTACACGACCTTATATACATAATTTCCTACGCCTTAATACTATTGTGTATCAACTAAAAAAACTATTTACACAATTTATTTACTATACAAAATAGGTGGTTGTATGTTGTTGTATCACAGCCGTTAATGCTCTCTCTGAATCATTAATTTGAGACAATCAGTCATATGAATAAAGTGTAGCAAATGCTTTTCCTCTACCTCCATCTCTTCTTGCTGCATTAAAGCTGAATATGTTTATCTCAACAAACTCAAGTGAAAGCATATGCTCGTGTTTTATGCATATGACCCAAATAACTAAAAAACATAGAGAGCCATATTAAGCACAAAAAATAAAAATGGTAATGTGTGTTTGGCAACAAAGATGCTACAATTTACATATGTTTATCACAATTAGCAATTTGAAAGCCCTTGTTTGAGGGGCGATTTAGGAAAATTTTCTTAAAAATTCAGCTCCCCAATCACTATCCCCATATACGAAAAATCGCTACGTTTCCAGCGAAGTAATCAAATTGTGATAGACATTTGTTTGCATTTCTCCAAACATTGAGGCCTGCCCGCAACTAAATGAACTACTAGAGTCACTATCACTGCTACTAAATCTTGAATTATTATTAATAAAACTTGAAACACTATTATTAAAGTTTGTCGATTGTTGTTCCAGTTTCAGTCTTTTGGTTAAAGGATCTTCGTCTACTACATTTACATCTTCATCTTCGTCTATTGCCGTTAACATTCGAGGAGTTGGAGGCATGTAGAATTGAGACAAAACATCGTAGTCATCTATTTGATCAAAGGGGCGTTTTTTGGTTTGAGGTTCTTCAATAATTGGTTTGGGAGGTTCATAGTCTAAGTTGACTTTGTTGAGTTCCTCTTCTAATTTCGAATGGAAATCGTTTTCAATAATGATTTCGTTATTGTCGTTTTTCATGAATTCGGTTTTGATGTTTAGGTAGCTATCGTCGTTGTAGCATCTTGGGTAGCTGAGTTGTTGCTTTTGGAGTTTTTCGTCTCTGGTTTCCTGTTGAAGTCGCTTCATTGTGTTGTTAATCAATACTGATCTGCATAGGTTTGATTCAGGATCGTCGATTTTTTTTAGCTTGTTTAGGCTGATTTTTAAGACTTTTCTTCGTTCTTCTTTGAGCTTGTATTTGGGGGAGATCATCGAGGGCCGGGTTCTCGGAGGGTAAGCTGTCGGGTAAGTCCGAGGAGGGCCGAAGATGTCATCGCAGTCGTCCATTGTTTCAGTGGGGTCGGTTGTTTGAAGTGTTCGCATGGTTATGGACCTGGAACAAAGGAAAAATGATTTGAGTCTTTGAGTCAAATATATATGACGTAATTTTAAAATTGAACGACAAGTTATGTTATAAATCGCTATATTATTATTATATACATATAATTCTCCTTTTCAATGTTAAATATAAGCGTACGCCTCTGTGAAAGCCCACAATAATATAAAGATGCTGAGTAAGCGGTTGGAAAAGTACCATCATATCAAGGTTTGCAACCGTCAGCAGTATTTTATTATAAATACGGCGTAACTTCTCAAATTTTAATAAAATAAATAGTTTTCAAGAACAAGATTCACTGAACGAAAAATATAAATCACATCATTATCAATCAATAAAATGTTAACTAAGCAAGATATAACATCACTTGTTTGTTTTCATTCCCAATGTTGACAAAATTTTACGGAATAATTTGAATTTAATTTGCTGCAAACATTCTCGATAATATTTGCGTTGAAATTCGGGTCAGAACCTTTGTTTTTACACTTGAAATTCGAGTGGATGTGCTTTTGCTTTGCCCAAAAATCCATCATCTTATCTAATCACCCATATAATACTCCAGGGAGTTCGTTAAACGCAAAATTAATTCGCAAAATAAATTCTATTTATTGACTATGCATGCTAATTGCGTGATATATCATCGGTGTAACCGATTTAGATTTAATAATAATTTAACCTGGCCTGGTAATTGAAAAATCATCATTAGAATCATTGATTGAGAATCGGAAATAAAATCATATAGTCACAAAGTCTGCCTACTTAATCTTTGTGACTTTGCCCCCTAGAATTTTTCCTTATCTAGCGGGCAGGAATACAATGTTTGTGGAATAATGATTATCTTTGTTAAGTCTATTGTTCTATTGAGCCTGAAATTTTGAATTAAAAAGTTATTTTCAAGGAATTTTCGACAAATTTTTGAGGCCTTAGTTGAATTGTTCTCTAATTCACGTTGAAAAGTGGCTGGTGCAGAATGAAGGCCAAATGGCATAACTCGGAATTGGAATAACCCTAGACTAGGCACAGTAAATGCGGTTATCGGTTTGCTCTATTCGGCCAACGGTACCTGCCAGTAATTCTGTTTAAAATCTATGCTGCAAACATATCATGCCCGTCAGAGCATGCTCAAAATCTCATTGGTAAATGGCAATGGGTACGCATCCTTTTTGGAAATGGCACGTGTATGCATTTATTTTTTAGATCAGTGCATGTAGTCCAATTCTGGATAATAGGTATATAGAATCGTTGTGTATTTTGAATATTGATAAACTCCTTTGATTTCGTCTGACGGCTTGAAGGTTGAAGCGTCGATAGAGGTTATCATAGTTGTAAATATAATTTTCAGGAGGAGGAAAACCTGCCTTGAAGGCCAATTACCGTACAAATTTACGCTGCCCCGGCTCCCTGATGTAGACAGAATACATAGGTAACCAAACCGAGGAGCAGTACTCCAGGTGGCCGATCCTCGGGCCAGGGAGTAGAGCTCCCCGAGAGAACAAAATTTTCGTCTTTATCATTCTTATTCGCTTTTTGATAACGTTGACAAGGACAAAAAATTCGTTCTATCGGGGAGCTCTACTCCCTGGCCCGAGGATCCGGCCACAGGATGGGCATTATCATTGTGCAGTAGAGAAGCCTGATGGAAGAGATGTTAGTGAAGTCCCTTGAACACCCACCAAAGCCCAGCAGTTTCAGACACCTGGTAGCGATATCCGAAATGTGACTGTAGAAACAACGTGTTCCGTACTCCCTTTTTTAGAAGGCGGTTTAGTGGTGCAACTATTTTTGAAAAATTCTGAAGGAACCGGCGGTACCACAAGGCAACACCCAAAAAAGCGTCTTAGGCTTCGTAAATTGATTGGCGGTAGAAGCTGATGGATAGCTGCAACTTTTTCGTGACCAAGTGTCCTAGATATCGGAGAGATTCTCGGCCGAACTGACATTTCTCAGGGTTCAATCTTAGATTTGCCCCTCGGAGACGGTTGAACACTTCTTGTAAATTGCTCAGATGCTCTTCAACAGTTTCTCCTAATACAATGATACCGTCGAGATAAGAGAAGCAATACGGATCCATCTCCGGAGCTATGACGTTATCCATCAAGCTTTGGAAGGTGGCTGGCGCAGAATGAAGGCCAAATGGCATAACTCGGAATTGGAATAGTCTTAGACCAGGCACAGTAAATGCGGTTATCGGTTTGCTCTGAACTTTCAGTATGTTTTACCTCAAAGCTTCAAGAATAGAGCCTCAAAGTTTCATCTCTGCGCTTCCGATAGTTTTTGAGGTAAAAATTCCAAAATAGAGGCTTGTCAATGTATTCATTTTTGCCTAATTTAGTAAATTCATAACTTTATTATTAGAGGTTTGATCACCTTGAATTTTAAGAATGTTTTACCCCAAACCTTCAAGAAAAGAGCCTCAAAGTTCCATCTGTGCGCGCCCGATAGTTTTTGAGGTAAAAATTCCAAAATAGAGGCTTGTCAATGTATTTATTTTTGCCTAATTTAGAAAATTCTTAACTTTATTATTAGTGGGTTGATCACCTTGAATTTTTAGTATGTTTTACCTCAAACCTTCAAGAATAGAGCCTCAAAGTTTCATCTCTGCGAATTCAATAGTTTTTGAACTTAAAATTCCAAAATAGAGGCTTGTTAATGTATTAATTTTTGCCTAATTTAGAAAATTCGTAACTTTATTCTTAACCGTTTGATCAGCTTGAACTTTTAGTATGTTTCACCTCAAACCTTCAACAATAGAGCCTCAAAGTTTCATCTCTGTGCCCCCGATAGTTTTTGAGGTAAAAATTCCAAAATAGAGGCTTGTCAATGTATTCATTTTTGCCTAATTTAGTAAATTCATAACTTTATTATTAGAGGTTTGATCAGCTTGAATTTTAAGAATGTTTTACCCCAAACCTTCAAGAAAAGAGCCTCAAAGTTCCATCTGTGCGCGCCCGATAGTTTTTGAGGTAAAAATTCTAAAATAGAGGCTTGTCAATGTATTTATTTTTGCCTAATTTAGAAAATTCTTAACTTTATTATTAGTGGGTTGATCAGCTTGAATTTTTAATATGTTTCACGTCAAATCTTCAAAAATAGAGCCTCAAAGTTTCATCTCTGCGCCCCCGATAGTTCTTGAGGAAAAAACTCTAAAATAGAGGCTTGTCAATGTATTAATTTTTGCGTAATTTAGAAAATTCGTAACTTTATTATTAGGGATTTGATCAGCTTGAATTTTTAGTATGGTTTACCTCAAACTTTCAAGAATAGAGCCTCAACGTTCAAGCGTCCCCGATAGTTTTTAAGGTAAAAATTCCAAAATAGAGGCTTGTCAATGTATTCGTGTTTGCCTAATTTAGTAAATTCGTAACTTTATTTTTAGTGGTTTGATCAGCTTGAATTTTTAGTATGTTTTACCTCAAACCTTCGAGAATAGACCCTCAAAGTTTCATCTATATGCCCTCGATAGTTTTTGAGATAAAAATTTCAAAATAGAGGTTTGTCAATGTATTCATTTTTGCTTAATTTAGAAAATTCGTAACTTTATTATTAGTGGTTTGATCAGCTTGAATTTTTAGTATGTTTCACCTCAAACCTTCAAGAATAGAGCCTCAAAGTTCCATCTCTGCGTCCCCGATAGTTTTTGAGGTAAAAATTCCAAAATAGAGGCTTGTCAATGTATTCGTTTTTGCCTAATTTAGAAAATTCTTAACTTTATTATTAGTGGGTTGATCAGCTTGAATTTTTAGTATATTCTACCTCAAACATTCAAGGATAGAGCCTCAAAATTTCATCTCTGCGCCCCCGATAGTTTTTGAGGTAAAAATTCCAAAATAGAGGCTTGTCAATGTATTAATTTTTGAAATTTAAAAAATTCGTAACTTTACTATTAGCGGTTCGATCAGCTTGAATTGTTAGTATGTTTTACCTCAAACCTTCAAGAATAGAGCCTCAAAGTTTCATTTCTGCGCCACCGATATTTTTTGAGGTAAAAATTCCAAAATAGAGGCTTGTCAATGCATTCATTTTTGCCTAATTTAGAAAATTCTTAACTTTATTATTAGTGGGTTGATCAGCTTGAATTTTTAGTATGTTTTACCTCAAACCTTCAAGGATAGAGCCTCAAAATTTCATCTCTGCGCCCCCGATAGTTTTTGAGGTAAAAATTCCAAAATAGAGGTTTGTCAATGTATTCATTTTTGCTTAATTTAGAAAATTCGTAACTTTATTATTAGTGGTTTGATCAGCTTGAATTTTTAATATGTTTCACGTCAAATCTTCAAGAATAGAGCCTCAAAGTTTCATCTCTGCGCCCCCGATAGTCCTTGAGGAAAAAACTCCAAAATAGAGGCTTGTCAATGTATTCATTTTTGCGTAATTTAGAAAATTCGTAACTTTATTATTAGTGATTTGATCAGCTTGAATTTTTAGTATGTTCTACCTCAAACCTCCAAGAATGGAGCCTCAAAGTTCCATCTGTGCGCGCCCGATAGTTTTTGAGGTAAAAATTTCAAAATAGAGGCTTGTCAATGTATTTATTTTTGCTTAATTTAGAAAATTCGTAACTTTATTATTAGGGATTTGATCAGCTTGAATTTTTAGTATGGTTTACCTCAAACTTTCAAGAATAGAGCCTCAACGTTTCATCTCTGCGCCCCCGATAGTTTTTGAGGTAAAAATTCCCAAATAGAGGCTTGTGAATGTATTCATTTTTGTTTAATTTAGAAAATTCGTAACTTTATTATTAGTGGGTTGATCAGCTTGAATTTTTAGTATGTTTTACCTCAAACCTTCAAGAATAGAGCCTCAAAGTTTCATTTCTGCGCCACCGATATTTTTTGAGGTAAAAATTCCAAAATAGAGGCTTGTCAATGTATTCATTTTTGCCTAATTCAGAAAATTCGTAACTTTATTATTAGCAGTTTGATCAGCTTGAATTTTTAGTATGTTTTACCTCAAACCTTCAAGAATAGAGCCTCAAAGTTTCATCTCTGCGCCCCGAT